TGAGCAGAATTATACAGATTTCTAGAGGTTACCTCCTGTGTTCTATATTTGAATTTTGATCCTCTGTTTTTTACAAAATTTCATAATAATTAATAGACTAGCCTAGGTCTAGATGCTAGACCAAAAGCTTCAGTCTCTCTATATTGTTGGTTGTTCCACTGAGACTACGTCTGGCTCCACTAGACCTCCGATTATATTATAGTATTGGGGATTGTCAACAAATGTCAGTTCTAAAATGACCCATATCGGACGGTTATTTCTGTCTAGGTCTATGCATGCTTATATTGATTTTGATTCATCATGGCTTGCATGTGATATAAATAGACGTTTCTTGAGATTTGCATTTTGCTGTTGTACAATTTAATATATAGGTCTACATGTACATTTATCATATATTTTATAGAAGTTGTTGATTTTAGGAACAAGAATAATTTTGTGAAATTTTACCTTGTTTTAGTGAAACTTGGACCTTGAAAGCCTATTAATTATCTTACAGTGTGTGTGTACAGGAGAGGTGTGTGTATGCATGTTGTGAAACGTGTGATCCTGTTTGTGAGGCCAAAACTTTAGACTCGTATATCAACCATTGTTCATCTCAGACATAGTTTACCTTGTTTTAGTAAAACTCTGACCTTAAAAGCATATTATCTTACAGTGTATGTGTACATGTACAGGGTACCTGTACATGTGTGCGTGTTGTGAAAAGCTTGATTTTGTTCAGACCGAAAGCTTCAGACTCATATATCAACTGTTGTTCATCTGAGAATACGTCTGGCTCCTCTGACAAATTCATAAATAAAGACATGTCAGTTTTAATAAAGAATCCCCATACCAGACTGTAAATTCTGTATAGACCTTGTATTGTTGTTAACTTGTTATTGTAGCTAATTAGCTATCGATTTCATCAATGTTTTATCAATTTATCAAATAATAATGTAATGTGTTACATGCATTTTTTCTTCAGTATGAACCAGAGAGAAATTTAACATTAGATAGATACTTAGGTGCACTGTGCATCAATGTGTTGTAGACCTGACCTACATGTGCATATATATTGAACTTTGATTATGAAGCTTTGCTGTAATATTTTATAAATTTGGAAACAATGTACACCCTGTATTATATAGGCTCTAAATCCATGTAAATATATGTTGCTCACTCATGTACTACTAAATAGACTGGGTAAGGGGGTAGAGTATTCCAGTTTTGTTCATGTCATGTGACTCATGGTTGACTTACAGTATGAGGCTGACTGGGCCGGGCTATACATGCAGATGACAGATACAGATAGCTGTCGGTGCAAGAAAAATCTACATTGATTTGAAATGGATTTCATGGTAATTTTACCTTGTTTGAGAGTTATGTTAAATATCAAATAATATGTGTATATATTTTCATCAGTATGTAGATAACTAGGTTTATTTTTGAAACGATATACCCACTTATTAATTTTTAAAAGAAGTATTAATACCAATCATACCATTTTGGAATTTGGATGTTAAGGAGCAAAGTTAATTTCCATATTTTTTTCTCTGGGAATCATTTCTCATAGGAATTATCTTTTAATCAGTTTACCCTTTTCCCAGATGCCGATAATGCAAGCAAACAAATTAAAATGAAAAGTTGTGAAATATGGTGCTTTACATTTATACTTTCACATGTGCATGTAGCTGGAGTATACTAATTTTCACATGTATGTGTTTGTATATTTATGTCGATCATTTTAGTTCTTGAGAATTTGGAACGTTTATCTAACAGATTATTTGCCAATAATACCAGGGAGTCTTTTTCAGGATATTTGAACATGTAACTTAAAAATCAAGCGTGGTTTTTTTTTTTTTTTAAGGGAGAATGTCAGAGACTGAGAAAAAGAGAGAAAGTCAGAGACTGAGAAAAAGAGAGAAAGAATTAAAGAACAGATTCATTGCTGCTAAGTTTTAGATAAATTCTCATGAAATCGGATCATCATAAACACCTTCTACGCCTTTCAAAGTATGTTACTAGCACGAGGCAGTTGCGAAACAGGTTTTCCCACTATTAAATCTTCCCCCTCTCACTCTCTCTCCTTCTCCTTCTGTCTAACATTTCCACTATCTGTCTTTATCTTCTTTGTTCTTCCACCTTTATATCCTTCCCCTTCCCTCTCTTTGTTCTCTGCCTACGTGTGTCCGATTATCTATCCTTTGTCACATTTCTAATGCATTCATGTATACATGTATATTCATCATGCTCCATTAACTAAACTCCACATCATATATCTTCCACGTATATAGTTGCACTCCGGAAATGTTACTTTTTAATAAATCGATGAGATACTATCATTTCAAAAGTTTTAACTAGTATTGCTTCAAATAAAGTAGACACATTACCACCAAGTCACACCAAAGTCTATGGAACAATGTAACGTTAGAACAATGCATGCAGTCACGCGTGACACGGTGTGGGACTCTACTTTATTCCAAGAAATACTGTATTTCTGATGGAAGTAAACCTTAAAAAATATGCACTTCCTCAATTATTGGGACTTATTTATTTTACAACTTCGTTGTTGTTTTTTCTATGCCGATGGTTGCCTGCTACAGGGCGTTGCTTTTAGTGTGTAATTTTGGGATGTTTCGTTTACTTTTGCTTGGACTTAGATCTCTTTCTTTGATTATTCATTTGTGTATAGTTACTTTCGATATCATATTTCTATATAAAATTATTTGTATCAAATTCTGGACCCCTTGGTGGAACAGCGCCACCATGTTGGTGGATGCTGAGTAGGGCCATCCAGTCGTTTATCTCTATAATATTGTGTAATGTTTCGATTATTGTACTTCTTTTTTTACGGTAACAAATTCAAATCAAATCATGAAATTTGTGTAAGTTTATTATGTCTACATATTGTTCAATTAATCATTGTTTAATGTTAAACTAAGTATAAACACTTTTCATCAGATGTACTGTTTCTTGTACTTTTGTGTATATGAGTATTCCGTATGTTACATTGTTTCAGTTTTGCCTATCTTACCTATAGCAGTCTGCTTTTCCTGACTTTCCAATTTCTTCTGTTATAGTTGTGAATAAGTACTTTCACGATTTCAACCGTCCTTGCTCTCTCTCTCTCTCTCCCCCTCTCTCTCTATCTCTCTATCTGTTTACCTTTCTTTCTTCCCTCCCTCTTCGTATCCATATCTACCCCTTCGCTTATCCTTCGCTAACTCTTGTAATTGTTAACATATGCAGTACGTTTAATATATATATATATATATATATATATATATATATATATATATATATATATATTCTTTCTTTTTTTTGGGGGGGGGGATTTGTGGGGAGAGAATCTTCATCAACATTGTCTGGGGTCATGTAGAAGTTCACTTCTAACTAACAACTTAGAAAATGTGCATTGTTTATTATCGATTGTACCCATGTTGGGGAACAAACGGAGGAAATAGGAAATAGGAAATAGTCGTTAAGAGGGAAATTGAAGAGATACTGTTCTACTTTCAGCACAAAATAATGCCATTATATTGCTACATTCAAGGTAAAACAAAAGGAAATCGTTGATAGTACACCTATGATTCAACTATATGCATCAAAGCTGATATTAGTTCTATGTTAAATTGTTACGCCTGTGAAAGGCGCTATTTGTCAGGAATTAGTCCCAGATGCAAGCACACCCCCCCCCCCTCTCTCTCTCTCTCTCTCTCTTGATACGTTTGTGAACTTGCATTTTGACTTATATCTTTATTTTGAAAAGGATAAATACTGTTTATATCATGGGATTGTGACACTATATATCATGTTGATATCATGATATCCTCAAGTTACACTGATGTATGTTGAGATTTCCTGGTTGCTACATGTATGTACGTAGTATTAAATGTTTTGATACGTTCATGATACAGTACTCGGTAGTTGTGCTGACTGTTGCATTACCGCCTTATATGGTATATTTGACCCCTGGCTCTTCCCTTCCCCGACTAGACTGACTGATAGAATCGAGGAACAGGTACAGCGCAAGTTCAAGGGCTCCCAGGCAAGCACAAGCTGGATGGGCGTAGTGGGGGTGTGTCGATCGGCCATATTGTGTATCTACGAGTTTTGTGTACATGTTGATAGTCAACAGAGAATCAGAGATCACATGAATCTAGATCCAATTTTCTCATGTTAATCGTTTATTTCATCCTATGTAAAGCCTGGATATAGCCTAGGCTATATTATACTCGCTGTGAATGAACTCGTCTGAGAGATGTGTGGTATTCGTAGTAGTGGAATTTGAAACCGAGCTATGCCGTTGATATGTGTAGTATGGAATATGATATACATGTAGTTCTTTATCCCCCTTGTTCAGTCATAACTTTGTAGATGGCGGCAGTCCGTGTAGTCGATAGGTGGTATAGAGATTACTGCATGGGTGGCTGCCTGTTTTAATCAAGGTAGTGAAAAGTCCCTTGCACCGTCGTATGTAATGTTGACATACTCCATTCATATTTTGCTTATTGCGAAAAAATTTAGTCACAAGATTGCTGCTCAATGTCATTCGTGTATTCATTTATTTTTAAAATAAAAAATATTGAAAAATAATTATTTCCATGTAGAAGAATTTTAAAATGTCTTTAGTATTAATGTCCTAGGAGAGTGACTGCTCTTGAAGTGCACTTAAACAAGAAAAAAAAAGATCTTAATGCACCGACCTATACACTGTTTTTACACACACGCACAAAAAAAAAATCGCTTTCAATCCTGGAAGTTGGACTTAATATTATGGAGAGCCGTTTGTAGCCTTAAAATAAAATGTATTCAAAAGCAAAAACCCAAGTGTAATCTTTTCATGAATTCCACATCAAGAACTTAAAATCTCCTTGATAATAGAAAAAAATGAATGATTTGAATCGACATTTTATGCCTTTTTAAATAACTTTTACAAAATATTTTCAAAGATGCTAACGGCTTTCCATGTTCGACTAAGGATCTTTTTGAAACACCCCAGTTGTGCAAAACGGCGTAACCTGTTGCATCATTCGTATGCAATGTGTAGTACTCGAACCGAAGCATTTTACAATACCTTCTGTGACGTCATGACTGCCATGTAAGACGTGAAGTAACTCGACACCAAAATCCATTGATTGTACTTCGTACTTATCTGACTGTGTGTAGGCCAAGTGACTTCTAGTACTACCGTACAACCCACGATCATATAAGCATTGTATATCTAGCGTGTTTCATTTGCGATCGTGTCCGTCTCATCGTTCGGATATATCACTTGAAAGAGTTCTTTTCGCATCTGAACGTCGTTGAGTCCTCTAGCTTCTATCTCTTTTCTCGTGAGCCACAATCAGTGTATGGACAATTTTGTTATGAGATTTTTCTTTGTCATCGTTTTCTTTTTCAATTCTGCAGTTATTAACAAGGAATAATAACAATGATTGCTGTTTGCCCTCGTGAAATTGTATACTGCAATGTATATTCTCTGGCTGAGTCTGTATATTCTCTGGCTGGGTCTGTATGTAGTAGTACTTCGGCAACCCATAGAGCTATCAGAATGTCCAAATTAGTATCAATGATATTGGTCGGATACACGGATTATGTTTTGTCTGTTTATATTTTTTATACGAATTGGGTTTCAGAGGCATCTTACTACATAATTTTGTTGAAATAGTGTAGTACTTTACAGTTTGAAAGTACATGAATGGCATATTATTTAGTGTTTACTTTACCATTAACATGGCATAATGATGATTGTTTTATATTCTCTGACTCCTGTTCTTGTTCCACAGACGACTAATACACGATGCCGCAGAGTGCTACAAAGACTCTGGAAGTGCAGGCCGATCTGGATGACGGGTCTGCATGGCCGACCACGGGGTCGACCACGGCACCGGTCGCTAACGGCGTCATGCCTTCTAACCCGAGCAGTCAGATGCTTGTAGCTGATATCCAACCTAATGGAGACATGGAGATGGACACCATGAATGTGTATGTTGTCGGTGGTAAATCTCCTAGTCGTGAAAAATACACGGCCATGGAAGCCGTCTCTGAACACACCCAGACAAGGTTTGATGCTAAAGGAGAGCTTGAACAAGGCCCGTCGACGAGAGCACCCAAAGATAGGTAAATTAACAATCTTCCCACATACTTTGTCTAAATATAATTATGTAGTTGCAATACATTTTGGTATTGAAAAAGATGTATAGAAGTCATTTTATGATGATATTGATTTTACTCTCATATTCACAGATACTTGATAGCTGTCATCATCTTTGCCATCCATGGAATTGGAACTCTTTATCCCTGGAATAGCTTTATCACTGCAGAAAAGGTAATTTAAAAATACATGTACATAATGTAGCTTCAACTTCTCCCGATGAAAATTATGATTAGAAGGCTAAATTGTTCTAGTAAGCATATTCATACATAGAGATTTATTTATTTTAAAAATGTTGATCGTCATCTTTTTAATATCTCGTTATAGTCGTATTATAGTTTAGAACACAATAGCTCTAGTAATAACAACAATAAAGTACCTACAAATACCGTTGTTGATCATGACATCGCATATTTTGTTTTATCTTTAGTATTTCACCGAGCATAAGTTTGCTAACGTTAGTGACGATACTGAATACAAGGACAAGTTCATCAGTTACCTTGGTATCGGAGGCTTCATCCCTAACGTCACGTTTCTCTTCATCGCTCTCTTCTTTCCACCAAAGTAAGTTACTCTCGTCAAACGTCATTATTTTCTTTTTCACGTTTCAAATTAAATTGTAAATGTTATGGCCTTATGAAACAAAATAATTTGCAGTGCTTTTATTATAAAATTGTAAGTTTTATTTTATTTTATTTTAAATACAATGTGTTGCATTCAATGATTTTCATTAAATGTAGAAGTCACCTGGGGGCGTTTCACAAAACTTGTCATCAGTGACAAATGACAGTTGTTGTTATAAGCTACTGAAATCCTTGCTTCTGATTGGTTATCAGCAAATTTGTCACTGATTTTTGTCATTTGTCATTGAAAAAAGGCTTTGTAAAACGTGCCCCTGGTCATAAACAAAGCAGTAGAAGAAAAACAAGTACACACACAGTACATGTAAAACATATTTCAAGTTTAATGAAACCAGAGTCTTTAAGAGAGTACAGTAGTTGCATGAGCAGGTGTGGGTTTTCAGATGTAGAACGGGTAGAAAGCTATGATTTCCTAAGCATGGCGTCCTATTATTTACTGATCACATTTAATGTAAACGTCATGAACCTGAAATCGTGTTTTTATCGTTACCTCTGTAAAGAAGTTGCTTTTGTACTGTCTGCCATTAATTGGGAAGAAATGCAAACATTGTTGACATTCATTTTGGGTTAAACAAATATATTTCTTGCCGGAAGAGATTAACGCCACTCTTTGAACAACATTGAAGTTCGCGATTAGATTGTTGAATTGCTTTGATTACCAGTAAGTCCACTGTAGTGGCAGGAAATGTACAGTATGCGGTCTACGCCCAAAACGAACTTCCTTGGTAACCGAGTTAAAATTGGATGAATGCAAGTGTGGTACTGATTCTGAATAGGAAGCTATTTCTTAATAGCGAAAATATATTATATACGGCTAGAGTTTGAAATAAGTCCATAAGGAAGTTCAATATCGATGGTTTTTCTTTTAGCAGTTTAATGATATCAAGCTGACATATATTCGTTCACGTCTTGAGTCTGTGTCTTGTTGAGAGTTATAATATTATTAATACTCATAGACGTACATGTATGTACAACAATAGACCGCCAATAGACCGCCAAGAAATAAAATGTAATGAAAAGGTTGAGAAATATATACTTCTATTTAAAAAAAAAAGCCTTTACCTTGAAATATGCCGTGCATGCGGCCATGGTATTATACTCCGCGTGTTCGAGCATGTTCGTGTTTGCAATGTTTGCATTTTATCGGTCAATATGATGTAGATGAACGTTGAGTAAACTGCACTTTGCACATTTTAGTCAAGGCTTATTACAGATGTCACGGAATCGACAGATCAACTCTCGACTTTGTGACACGATGTCACCATGTTGTTTGTCTACCGAAGGACAACGCAAAATGGTAGAGGTTTTTGTTCTGTCATCTATTAGTGTCCTGCTGCGCTGATTTAAAGATGTATTGTATCCATGTGACCCATGTCTGTGTGTTTTGTTGATTAGATTATCAAATTCTGAATTGAACCCTTATTATTCTGATCTCACAAAGACATAAACGCACAAGCTGCGTTTGTACATACAATCCTTTCGATTTATAATATTTGCCTGTGCTTTGGTAAATCAGTTGTTTATAGTACTGGTAAGGTGGGATTTGATAGAGATAGTTTGGTAGAATTACATGTAGCTTTAATGTAACGTATTATAATCTGAAATTCTAAAGGTCATTCTTAATATTTGCCATTGTAAATTGAGGTTAGCGTCTGGTGTTTCAAACAGGTTTTACATTTAACATTTAAATATTATTTCTTCAGTCATAGAATACAACATACAGTCAAATGACATAAAGGTTGTACTTCCTGCTTTTGACCCATGTGTGAACGCGGAAGTAAAATAATGCGGGAAACCTACTCTTCCTTCAAAATATGAGAAGGCATTTTTTAATGATATGTACCCGGTACTGTGTGTACATAATATAATAATTTCAAAGGCAACGTTCTTCCAATTATAAATATACATGTATTTCGTTATGAAGTAGTGAATGTACGCTTTCGTTTTATAATGAAATAGCAGCGAATACAAGCTTACTAATGATTTTCTATCTTTCGATTTTGTATTACTATTTACATGTATAACGGTTTGGGTTTTTCCAAAGGGGGGGGGGGGGCAATGAAATATTGACATATAGCTTGATATCAATCATATTGATGAATAGATTTTACTTTTTTTTTTATCTCTCCTGATCAGCATTCCACGTTCCGTGTATTCTACTGTATGATCATGTTTTAGAGAGGACATGTTTTAATGTATGAATTCAAAGGAAGGTTGAGTCAGCGTTGATCGTATTATATAGGTTAATGTTGCATTGGGCAAGCACTTGAATATGCCCTAGTCCGAACAACGGACAAGAGAATAAAGAGAACCATATCTCAGATAAATATTCTACACAGTAGTCGTATATGTTTTTATTAATTCGGTTATGTCACTTGGGGATGGGGGAGGGGGGAGGGGGGGGGGGGTTATATCAAAACTATAAATTATTACACTATTTATAAAGCTCCTTGATTTGACAATAAACATGTAAGAAATCTCTTGTTGCAGATCATCAAGATTTTCGACGTTTGGTGGACTTTTTGTGATGTTTGTGCTGTTCATTATAACAACCATACTTGCTATCGTCGATTCTTCTGGATGTAAGTTTTTCCTTTTTTAATCTATTTTCTCTTTATGTGTAGTAAATGCTGCATTGATCTTACTTGATTTGTTGTGCATAGTGTTGAATATAATACACTTTTTGTGCTGCGGCATATATGCGTGTGTTTTGAATTGCGTTATTGGTAACATTTTATTGATTTTCTTCCTTTTTTGCTATAGGGCCGGAACTTTTCTTTGGAATTACCATGGCAACTATTGTTATTTTTAATGGTAAGTGTTGATCATTTTCATAGTTTATTGTGTCTTAAACTAATTGATGCATTTGATATTGGTATGATTCATGTTGATTCAAGTACACTCATCTATACTTTGTCTTTATGAATGCGTCTGTGTTGTTGTGTGCACGTTCATGATTCACGGTGGGAGAGATAGTACAGTGACCTAGCTATATAGTCTAACCGAATGGTTGAAAAGTAGAGCAATGGAAATTAAAGAGAGGGAAATAGACAGGAAGAAAAAAAGATAGAGACAGATAGAGTGAGGGAATATAGGAACATGAAAAGAAGCTCGTACATCTTCCCCCTAATGGAGGGCTTTCGGAATTCATTCACATTTTACTCAGCAATGACTGCTCCACACCGCGGGGGTAGTGTATTGTGGTTTCCATCTAGACAAGCCGCCCGAAACATCAACAATTACTGTAGAAAGGAAGTTCACATGGGTGAATTACAAACATTAAATAGTTACCAGTCTTCAACACATATCGATGTTCTGGGAAGTGCATACTCCCATAGCCATGTTATTTGTAAAGAATAGTCCCCCAATTTGACGCATCGTATTAAAATTTCTGCCTCTAAAAGTTCCGAATTCTCAAGCGATTTTGATCGTGAAATCGATTGTTCTTTACATCATTAGATATCAGCTGTTCAGGATATAGTTAAACTCTAGTCACCCATTTCTTCCTTCCTTTCTCAGCTAAATGGTAGCCATTGAATGGCAGGAAATTGCAAATACTCTGTCGATTGTTACTTTCATTTTTAGTAAGGAAAGTAGTATATTGTGTGACGGCGACTGGCCTTTTTCAATGTTGCCTATACTGTGTATGCCGGATTATTTCAAATGACGAAGAGAAAATGAAATATGGTATTATTTTTCGTATTGTATTTTGCTGTGTGAGGGTTGCATGTCGAACGTCAATCACATCACATGAGTTTGTTTGTTATAATCTATTTTCACAATGGCTCAAATTGAAAAATATAACACCCGGACTTAAGACAAATACTCATTCGTCATCCAATAGCAGTTTGTCTTTGCTTTGCCACTCCTAACCTACGTTCAATAGCGAGACAGATGGTATTATTCCCTTGCAATGTTAAATATTTATTCATTTGTGTTTTCATGATGGAAACTTAGTATTATTATTTTGGTGGGAGTGTGACGTCGTATTATTGAATGGTTTTTAAAACGGAGGTATTTGTCTGGGATCGTAAATCACATTGTGAATGGGAAATATAAAACCCGGGGAAATATAAAACCCAGCTTAAAAGGAAGGAAATGGGACTTTCCTCTCCTTAATAAACATATTGACTTTCATGCGTCATCATTAGATATCTTCGAACTATTGATCTCTTTTGTCTTGCCAATAAACTTAAGTAGGTCATTCCCATCAACTTAATCTAATCAATATTAAGACGATGACCTGGTGTCAATGTTCATCTTCTCATGCATTGTGTTGGTGACCCTCAAAAACAAGATTTGAATATAAAGCTCGGTTATCACGGAGATTGGCGTATTTACGTAAACACAGTTATCATTGTTTAAACAAGACGGAAGTTGTGACTAAAAATCACTTCTGAAGATACATTGTAAATAATCGTATCATACGCCGTCTTCAAAATACAAGAGGTTACAAACTCCGCAAAAGGTATTTTTAACAGAGGGAAATGCCGGGGGAATTATACTAAGGTTTGACAATGAAAGGTTGACAACGAAAACCAAATGATGAACCTGTAGAAAATTAAAAAAATTACAAAACGTGAACGTCTATCCCAAAAAAGAAAATCCCAATTATTTTATATCTTCATGCATACTCTCGTTTGTATTGTTCCATTTCATCATCATTTCATGGGACTATCTGAAATTGACTTTGTTTCCTTTAGCTGCCTCTGCCGTTTATCAATCTGGGATGTACGCGTTAGCAGCCAAACTCCCAGAGGGATACACTCAAAGCTATATTGTCGGACAGGTGATTATAACCATATTAGTTGATAGCCGTTTCCGTGGTGTTTGCGGTTAATGCAATAATCCGTTCAGTGACTCAGGATTAAAAGATAGCAGGTGATCTAAATCTGATATTGCTTCATGGGTGTCATGAGAAAGAGATCCTCACACGAGACTTATAGGAACAATTTCTACCATATTAATAGCTACGAATGACTTTTTCTTTCATAGTGATCAAATGAAAATAATTAATTTTAACATGTATTACGAAGAGAAAATATGCTTAAATATACATATTAATTTATCATTAGTATCATGTTTTTTCTCTCGCCAGTTTGATAATAGCTGGCTTCGTCTTTCTAAGTAATTGAAATGACCCTGACATATGGAACAATGTCCCTGATATAAGGAACAATGTCTTACTCTTCATGAAACAAGAAAAGAACTGGAGTAATAAGAACAAATGATGGAAGGACGTCTATTAGACTTACAGTAAAATCTGAGCACGTCTTTAGCATGAAAACTAAATCTGAACTCCCTTACGTTTTTCATACGACCTCTTCGAACAGCTGATAGATCAACAATATATTTCGTTTTCGATTTATTTGATACGAGAGTTCCTTCTTTCATAATGTTCAATCTTTTAGGGAATCGGAGGAACTTTTGTTGCTGTCCTGTCTATCATGTCGATAACCTGTAAGTATTGTGTAACTTTAACAACTTTATATAGGAAGTTACTTAAGGTTACAGGTTACGTAATATATGAAACAGCCTTGTCACTTGTACTTTGAGTATTTAAACTTCTGACTCTTTTTCGTTTGAGTTTCATCCCCACAATTGGCACAAATATGTACATATATCCTTTTTTAAAGGGTTTTCAAATGTAATTGTAATTTTGACTTAAATGGCCGACAATTATGTACCATTGCTTGATAACAAAGACATTGAAAACGCATTGGCTATTGCGATTTTACCAATTGTTGTACTCTCAAGACGATGCAATTATTTCAATTGATTCTTTATACATGTACATTGTGCAATGAAGAGAGGAGATCTTTTAAGATTTCGTATCCTCCCTGAAGTCTATTTCAGCGGAGTTTGCCTTTCCAAATAATAAACGTTTGCTGTATATATGATTTAGTTGCAGGAAGCCTCCGTAGTGCCGCTATCGGGTACTTCTGTTGTGCTGTGTTAGTTCTACTCATCTGCTTAATAACGTATGCCATGCTCTTCAAACTGGTAAGAAGTGTGACTCAATGACCTTTCTACTGTTTACTGGGCTCGCATATAATATGTGGGCGGACTAGATTCTGAAAGTGTCCTCTCGTAATGCGATATTATGACTTTCAAATTGAAGAGAGAAAATAAGAAAACCACTAAGTTTGAGAGGAATCCAAATCATCCGATTTCAAAACATTTGAAGTCGCCGTATTATGACATTTCAAAATCCTTATTCTCCTGCCTTTGCAGAAGTCATATGGTTCTTTTGATGTAAACATTGATTCGTGATAATATTTTCATCTTCTCTTGTCTACAGCCGATAATAAAGCACTACTTGGGTCTAGTTACTATGGTTACTAATGACAAAGAGACCGAGGCTGCTGAAGATGATCCTAGTAACCAGTCTCCACCTCTCTGGACCATTTTTAAACAGGTAATGAGTGTATGAGTTATTGGAACACCGTCTTTATTAATCAAATGGACTGGGAGTAAACGAAGTAATTATCATGCAAATAAAATACATAATAAGCACAAGCAGATACAATGGAATGAAAACGTGCAGACGGCTGGATATTTAACAATACAAAAGGATGCGAGAGAAAGACAATGAGAAATGAATAATATTTACAAAGATAGAACGTACTTTGGACTTGTTTCGTTAACGTATTCTGCCGTGAAGCGTCATGTCTACACCGGTATAAACTTGTGCTCTACCGAGTCGTTTGATGTGGCAGTTATTGTTCTGAGTCCACGAACTCTCGATGCATAACCACTTAGGCTGCCTGAAGCGAGTTACTATGATTGAATAAAGACAAAAAGAAGAGGAAATCAAATGTGTATATCGAAGTGTAGTTGAAAGAGCCTCTAAAAGACTCTCGCACCGTCAAGTATAGCAAAGTATAATGTGTTATATTCGTGAGATACTAATTCATGTCCATGCATTTCATTCATGCAAATAAAATATTTTGTAGTGGAAAGTTCAATATACTTCATGAAAGTAATTCGAATATCATGATGAATTACTCAGTACCTCGTGTGATGTCATATATGTCATGTCGCATGTTTTCCAATTGTAAATTTTCCCTACTTATTTTAAAATCAACCTGTTTTATGAGTTATAAAATGAGTGCAGTGTCGGTTCAAGTACCTCGTATAATGTCATATCACGAACAGGTGGTGGTATGCCAAGAGGCCAACTAAGGGAAACGAAAGTCGCGATGAGAGAAAAAGCAAAAGGAAGTTAACACTTGAAAAGTACGCGCCGTTCAAGGCCTTTACTCTGTCTGCTAATGTTGTAACAAATTCGCTTTTCGGATTATAATCGTTAATAAACTGATTCAAATTGGAGTGAAGAGAAGGTTCCAACGACTTTTGAAACAATTAGCTAAAAAGACGTCACTTTACGCGGGCGAGGCAAATAGTGCAAACACTTTACAAATCAAAGCGGATGAGATTTTCTATTGTAAAGGATAAAGACCATTGAATCGGAAACTCATCGGAAGATAAAGTTTCAAATTAATTTCCTATGAAAGAGAGATTCATGGGTTATATAAACAGTCATGGCATTTGCTTGCCATTTCTAGCTATTGATTCCTTCATGTCATACCCCGATATCCGTATCAGGACGATAGCCCCCTGGACAGTAACCCCCGTGGACAATTACCCCCATCCCTAAAAAAGATATAATCCCCAGGACAATTGCCCATCCTTTCCAGGACAAGCAAGGGCAATTGCCCCCCCCCCCCCCCCCCCGCCATGATCATAAAAGGCTTGATAATAAGTTGGGTTTAATTCATTTTTTAAAAAATCCGAAGATGATTGTCCTCAGAGGGGTAGATTGCCCTTCAGGAAGGGGGGGGGGGGGGTAATTGTCCCGTTGGTAAGTGGTAAGGGGGTGGAGGTGATTGCCTAGGGGATAATTGCCCTAGAACCCCCGCTAACATGTCAGGAACTTGTAAACACAGACAAAGAATTGCCTTTTAAAAAAAAAACACAAATTACTCCACTTCTCCGGCGACAATTCGCCCGCCGTCAAATTCCAATAGTCTCATTTATATCAATGACGGATCCAGGATTCTCTGGGGAGAGAGGGGTATAACCAGTGGCGGATCCAGGGCAGGTGGACCGGGCCGGGTCCCCGGCCCCCCCCCCCCCCAAAAAAAAGTATTTTTTTTTTTTTTTGTTTCGTGCTCAAAGGGGGGAGGGGGTGGTGTTGAGTAAAAAAAAAAGATAGCTCAATAGCCCCCCCCCCCCCCCATTTGGCCGGTCGGCTGAGTCGCCGCTAGATATTTCACAGGAATGGGGCCCCCTACCTCGCCGCCGGCTGGATCCGCCCCTGGGTATAACTCTGTATACTTTTTTTTCTTCTGATACCACCCCCCCCCCCCCCCTCTTCATAACTTACTATTCATCTAATCTATGAACTTTTTAAATAAACTTCTATAAATCCTATACCATTTTTGGAATAAATCCCGGAGAAAATGTTGCCATAACCAATAATTGAAATGTCGGAGCACTGGAAGGGTTCATACATGTATATGATGGTAATACCTATCATATTTATCAGTAATGTCGTAATCGGCGATCGATTCTGATCATTCCAAACTTTGAGAAGGGATCCATAATTCGTTGCGAGATTCGTTATCATTTCAAGTGGAGAACCATTTTAAATCTTGTCAAGTGCACAAATCCTATGATTGTATCTCTTTCACAACATTTAGTAAAAAAATACTTGCACACAAAAAAGAATTCAATTTTGAAATGCGATTTTGAACGACGTCGTATATAAATGTGACATATTCAGATGAGTAACTTTGCGACTTTCGTATTTTAATCACCCATATTTCTCATTTTTATTGAATTACGTCCAAAAGTTCATTTGACGGTTGTTACTCGTTCATCTCCGTAACCCCTGTACACACTGTTGGAGACGTTTTTCTTAGAAACCTTTACGGGCAAGATATTCGCCGTCTCGAATCTACGGGAATAGGTAATTTATTTGCTGTGCACCTGGTTTTGAAACGTCAAATTGTAAACGATGTATTCTTCCTTTCTAGATCAAGATGCAAGTGTTTAACATCTGGTTGACATTCGTTGTGACCCTGGCGATCTTCCCCGTGGTACTGGCTGGTATCCCGTCTGTTGCTGAGAATCCTTCCTACTTCCAGGAGGTCTACTTCATTCCTCTATGTTGCTTCTTCACCTTTAACCTTGGTGACTTCTTCGGGAGCGTCCTCCCGGCATGGTTCAGATGGGTAACTATCAAGCGGTTGCTATTGTCACAATCAATTCATCACTAGATTTTCTAAGATTTTATTGTTCTTATTTGAATATGAAGCAGAGTATAATCTTTTAGCGGTTTTATCTTGCCGACATGCTGTAGGCTGTTCATAATATTAAGTACAATGTCAATATAAATTTATTGTGATTTTGTTATACAGTTTGGAACTTTTGTATTCTTCTCAGCCCAAAGAGGGCATCTCGGTTTCTTATAATATTAATGTGTGGGGAATGCCAACTGTATGAAAATGCGGTCGGGCCAGAGAGTTGGCGACGCAAAGGAAAGCTGGTTGTTATTTCGACTGATTGATTACATTATTAATGTAACTTGACATTGATATTTGTGGTGTTCTAATCATTTACTGTAAATATCTCTTTATATTATCAGAAATGGTCCAGCTACACATGGCTGCTGGTTGTGAGTCGCCTACTATTCTACCCAATCTTCATTTTCTGTAACTACCGTCCCGATCGTCGCACTATTCCCGTCCTTATCAACAACGACTATGCCTATGCTTTCCTGGTTGTCATCATGTCTGTATCTAACGGCTATCTCAAGACCGTCATCATGATGGATGGACCAAAGTAAGATATCTTATACTCATTTTTTGTCATATCAGATGTAATATTTATCCCTTTGTCACTTTAGAAGGTGCCAGAATTTTGTTTTTGTCGATCTCGCTTTTGTTTTTTCATCAGAACCAACCAATGAATAATCGTTGTTGAGTTGAAAAACCAATATATTCTTATAAAAATCATTTTCTGTTATTCTACAACGTGCTGACTAGTTTTGTGCAAGTAATTTTAGACAAGAAAACTTGACCAGGATGATATGGGTGTGCATTATGTGGTTATCCCATGGTCTTTTAGCAACAATATGTCTAATGTTTATGATATTGCATTGTCATACAAGAATCCTTTAATTCTCTTTCTTTGTAGGATGGTATCTAATCCGAACTGGGCTGGTAAAGCTGCATCGATGATGGTCTTCTTCCTGATTCTAGGAATCTTCTGTGGCATCCAGTTCTCTCTCTTCTTCCCATGGATTGTTTCTTTATAGAGTATTAACCTCTGCTGTCGGCTGGAAATGTTCCATAGAAGATGATGATGCCCCCCACTGTCCAGTGTGTTTACTACCAAGGACGTAGCCATGCTCAATCTTGGGATTAAACCAATTTGTGCCGAGCATCAGACTCAGTCAAGAAATAGCACAATTGAGTTTACTCCCCCATGGCTACGGCCATGGTGTATCATGTGGTGTACACATATTGTTCAATGTGTAATGGCCATCTATGATGAGATTTAGGTGCATAGACTCAGGGCCGTGCTGGTGGAATGGAAGGGGCGTAGGGAATTTGGATATCACCTTGCTTGTGACAAAAAGAAAAAAAAGAAATGTTCAAACTTAAGATTCTTGTTTTGTTTTCTTAGGTTCCATAGAGTATCTTTATGTTGACCGTTTAAAATATTTACCTTTTATTCATTTAGTTTATTCATGTATTTTTTCATATTTTTTTTTGTGGATAGCCTTTCATGGTCATTCAAGTACATCTACATTTATAGCCAAAATTCCTTTTAGTTCTTTGGTGTAATGTACAGTTTATGTAAATATATATTTATATATTTATATATAAAATAAGAACTAATTATCTTCAGTTTGGACATACACATAAAGTCCAACACCATACACTGTATATTTTCAACTAAATCAGTCTCGCTATTTATGTCTGACATTGTTTCTGACAAATGCATTTACATGTATTAATATACATGTAGTATACTAGAGGCAGTATTCTGAGATCTATATGTGGTTCCACATAAGTGGATTACTAGTAAATTGTTAACCAGCATAAGTGAACCAAAGCAAGAAAAAGGGCTTACCGGTACCTATTTGGGCTTAAAGAAAGACCAAGATTCTAAGTCCCTCTCATTGAGCATTTGCTGTATGAGGTAAGAAGTCACACTAGAATCAAGCCAAATTATTCTTGGCGGAGGGAGACTTTCTTTTGTAACTTGATCCTTGTACATTGTGCTACTAATGATGAATGCTTGTTATGTCACTTCAACTTGATGTTATACATTAATTGTAAATCAACATTCACTTAGATGTCAGACTCGTCATATAATTATGCAGGGTAAACTATAATACTTACAAGGTACATGCAAGGTACATGCAAGGTAACTGTCATTCCAATTTCCTTGATTCATATGATTTTAACATATTTGATTGGTCTTTGTATTATCTTATCTAGGTCGCTATGCCCTAGCTTTATTCATCTCAATCAAATGCTGTTATACAGCTAAGATTGAAATTACAAACACAGGTGTAGCTTGTTATAAATATTATTTCAGTATTATGACTAGTTTAGACATATACATCAAATTTGACAAATACCTTGTACCGTATGCCAGTCCATTATCAATCAGCAGATAAAGTGTTAATACATTCCAAATCATGTGCTATATACAGGGTAATTACTTATGAATCTACCTGAATCTGCCTTAATCTGTACAAATGTACTTAATTTTATCTGTGAAAAAAAAAAATCATGTTTTATTGTACCATTTGTTCAGATATCAAAGAGAAAAGGCTGGACTAAACCATTTTTGTTATTCACAATTTACATTATTGATTCTTAAGTTTTTTGTTTAAAGGAAAAAACTTGAGTGACAGATTAAAGAAGAGGCTGATAAGTGATAATGCAATTTTTAACTCATCTTCCATTAACAGGTCTTGCAGTAATCGTTTGTTTTATTAATAAAAATTAGCCACACCCTCGCACCTAATACACTGCCTGAACATCGTGCATAAGTTCTTTGCATTACCAATATGAAATTCATATGACTTGTAAATTCTATTAAAAGAAAAATTGATAAATTACTGCATTTATCATACAGCATCTCTCGAAAGTGTGTTACTGCTGCAAAAGGTGGTCTGAAATTTCTGTTTTCTGTGTATGTTGAGCTTCAGGAACTTTTTGGTGGAAAATTATGTTTTTTGGCTTTTGCCAATAAATTGTTGCATGTATATTGTACATACATTTGTTGTGTAAAGGTTAAATAAGTAGGATTTATTTTGTTGAAAAGTGGAACAAAAATAAACATTAACATTGACAAAGGCCAGTTTTTGTGCCTTCATACTTCGGAAGAAGAAAAAAAAAGTTATAATGTGAATGTGATAAGTATTTACATTATATCATGTACAAGCATGTTCACAGTGATCCTGATTACTGACTGATGATTAATTAGGGTTGTTGTTGTATACATAGACTTTGTTATAAAAAGAAGGAACATTTTAAGGTGTACAGGTATCGGGTTATTAAATATATTCTAATACACATACAATAATCATCTCTACTGATTAAGTTGGATGAAAGTCTCATATTATTTAGTACAGAAAACCTTTAAAATGGAAATGAAGTATTTGATTTTCTTTTGCTGGGTTTTGAACCACCTCAATCCAGCTCATTCTATCAATTGAATTGATTAAATACAGTCCAAAAAAGTGTATTTTGCATTGTTTTAATGTCAACTCATAATCTTGTACATAGTAGAAACAACAGATTTCGTGTAGCATCTACTTTTGTGACAAAGTACAGTCAAGAAGCTTGTAATATCAGACAACTCATTGGAGGCAATTATATTGGAAATTTTGTTTTACTCTGTTGTTTGCAACATTCAAGAGTATTTTCAACTCTGTAAAGAAAATACATGTTAAAAAAAAACGATGTTTAGTGTCTGTACAATTAAAAACTGCCAAATAAGTTGGTATTTGTTTTTTCCAACATATCATGTGCATGAGGCTCCCAGTGTTCTTACAGAGTTGTGAGAGTAAAGTAACCAGGGTTTAATATCATTATCTTGAATGGTTATGGTTCTTTGTACTGAAGGATACATTCACCAATATAACAAAGTGTTATTATTTACTTCTGCTTTGGACATGGTTCAGTTGACCACTGCCCAGATATTGTACTATGGTTTTGAATGATTTATTGGATCTTCAGAGTGATATAATAAACAAGAAAAAAAAAATGTTATACTTTGTTTCATTGACTGGTATCATATTCCATTTCTCAAGGCAGGCCAGCATAATACATACATACTATGCTCTCAATTAAGGAAAGCACATTTAGAACACTTGCTGCAAACTAGTCTGATACCAACACATACACTGGTTATGAAAAGTATTGATAAGTACATAAACACAAAAAGATGATTCTTTCTCTTTCATTTAAATTTGCCCACAATAGAACTTCAGAGAAAATTATACTGTACATGTCGTACACATTAAAATAATATTATGCACAAAAACATTTTCAACCAATTACCTACCGATACCACTTTTGTTTGCATGTATGCCTGCATAATTCCCATTAGTTATCACTCTCAAAGTCATCAGAGTATGCATCATCCTGTCCATAATCAGCACTCAAATCTGGCTTAAGTTCTAATGTATTAACCTCTGAACTGTCCAAAGTGTTTGACAACTCTGGGGCTAACACAGACATATTTGATATAGAGCTAGTATGATCTAATGAGAGCCTAGGTTTGGGTTGGGGAGGCTGATTGAAGATAGCAGACTTTGCCATTGATCTCCTGGCAAGAGGGACAGGAGAGTTGGCAGACATTTGAGGTTGAGGTATGCTAAGAACACTAGGTGGATATTTGGAGCTTGTGCTACTACTGCTTGATTTGGAAGGTGGCTTCTCCACCTTTGGTGGCTGATCCTTGACACTTCTGGCAGATTGCACAGATTCTGCTGTCTTGTAACTACTGTCATCAGAATGATCATAGTCTGTATGCTCCACTGAATGGTCCTGTCTAGCGTTTGATGATGTTCCTGAGGCTATGGATGACTGGATGTTGGCTAGCTCCTGCTCACCTGTCGATACATACCTATATGAATCTTCAAAGTCATCAGAGTAAGCTTGGGTAGGTGTCACATGCTCTAGTGGTCTCTCGTCTTCTTGTGGACCTTCTGGAAACCCTGGTACAAACAAATGTTTTGGACCCTCCTGACTCTCATCTGAAGATGACTCATCATCCTCCTGCACTGAAGCAGTTGGCAAGTGAACACTGATGCTGCGTACACTCTTCTCGCTTCCACTGGCATCTGCAACAAAGTGGTTAATACCTACATGTATAACGTAATCTCTTTATGGCAACTTATTATTTGCGATACATGCCAACCATATTTACCTATATTGCTTTTTGATAGAATCAAGGAGTAAATCAATGAGGTGCAAATTCAAATGTTGAAATGAAAGAGATCAGTAATTTTTATTAGGGTAATCTGCACAAAAGAAAATATTACTTTGAGCACCATCCATGCATCTTCACATTGCATTCAGACACAAGATTCTGCCAGACTCGCCCTAATTATTTGATACCCTAGAAAACTATTCAATACCACAAAGATCTATAAAATTGCATTGTCCAATAATATTCTTTTTACATTCTTCAAAATTATATCAACATATTGTGCCATGTAGACTACTTAATTTAACTGATTCCATAATAACTGGAATTACTGTATATATGAAATATATAAAAAAAAATAATAAAAATAAATTCATGTGCAGCTTTACCTTTTTCATCAACACTGCAATATGCAGTAACATCCTCCTTACTGATCAGGTTATCTGTGTCCTCATCATTTATCTCTACGGTAGGAATCTTAAAAGTTTCTATAAAGGAAATTGTAGGTGAAGAAAACAAAAACTGATATTAGTAGTGCATTTTCAAATTTGTAGATAAATATCACTATTATGAATGGAAATTTCTAGAATTATGTTTGAAAGTCATACTGAACAGTGAACAGACATGTATAATTTACAATACATGTACATATATTTATGATTAATACGAAATCACTGATCACATCAGTCAATTACTTGAAAATTTGAAATATAGCATACCCATTCCCCTCTTGAAAATGTCATCAGCATATTCCACATCTGGTTGCTCTTGTTCAAAGTGTCTGGCAATCTCTGTAGATATGTTAGCATCAGGTGAAGGCAACATGTTCTCTGATGGATGAGGAGCCAACGGCCTCTGCTTGGTTTCCTTCTCGCGCATCTGAGCAGCAGTTCGCATCTGGAATTTGATTTCTGCAATTCTTTCCTCTTCTTCCAACTGCCGAAAGGCTTCGGGATTGTGTTTCTGGATGCGAAGCTTTTGGGAGTTGGTCATTTTGAATGTTAGTTTGGTTTCTTTTTGTTGCTTGCCATATTGAGGCTGTTGTCTTAACCAACCTTTTGAAGCTGGTACTCCTACTGGAGGCTTGGCACATTCTTTGTGTTTATGACGATAACCTTTCTGAACTGGAGGCTTAGACTTTGATACCTTGAGTCCTTCCTGAGCAACATGAGATTTGCTCTGTTTTCCACTATTTCCATGTTCTACAGAATGTTTAGCAGAAGTTATCTGAAAGTCAGTGTTATCTCTGGAATGCAATATTTGTCCGGCTGTATCAAAGTCCCTTCTGTTCAAAATACTCAATTCTCTAAGGAGGGCCTGAAGGATTGGGAGTTTGTGAAGATGCTCTACCATGTCAGATGTTGATTTCATTCCTTTCTTGTCATTGTCAGAACCCTTTTGTTCTTCTTTACTTCTATGTTCAGACTGCATACTAGGGTTGGCATCTACAGTAGACTTATCTTTCTTTCTGCTTCTCAGGATCTTTCGTACATTCGGGGAAGAATTATACTCTGGAGGATGTATCACATACTGAACTTCAAGATCTTTCCTACCGTCTACATCAGGTGAAGAGAAGACAGAATTATCTGGGGCAGGTACATAACTATTGGTCTTCAGAGGACTAGGGAAACTTCGGTGTTGAAAGACATGCTCTGGCACTCTGTGTCTCCTACTTTCTTTCACTTTGACATCATTTTCTGAATTGTATATTAGAGGTGGAGGAATATGTGTATTGGTGATAAACCAATCATTATCTTCATACGCAGGACACATGATTGCTTCGTTTTCTCTGAGAATGTGATCTGCAGCAATTCTTAAAGATTTCAATGGTCTTTGTTTGCTCTTTGTTGAAACTGGAAAGTCCTCTGTGGTCTGACAAGCAAAATTCACTCCGATGGCTGGACTATTATCTTCAATCCTTTCATGATCACAGCGATGACCTGTATTCTGGGGAACAACTACAGGGCCCACAGTCACACTTGGCATTTGAAGATTTTCCTGTTGATCTGCCATTACATTTTCAACATCGTTGGTTAATGCAGATTCCTTGTTCTTCGCCAGTGATGCATCAGCAATGTGATGGATGAGGTTTCCACCAAGGCTAAGTAAACGAACCCCTAAGGATATCCAGCCTATCTCAGTTCCCATCAAATTAAATACTGGGAATTTCCCCTGAATACCATGAACTGATGGGACAGAGACTCCAAATTCTGAAACATCCTTTCTAATTCTATGCATAACTTCTTTCAATGAGACATTGCAGTGGGCTATCAACTTTGGGACAGGAGTCCAAACATCAACAATCATTATGTAGAGAGGCGTGTTGTCAAGATGAGAAACAAGCGAGTTTAATTTGTACTTGTAAAGAGACGACTTGCCCTTCTTAAATTCATGGTTACCATAGCGATCTTTCAATTCTTCAAGTTGAGGTGGGATATTTTCTTCATATTCCCATGAATGCTGAATAGCTCTCTTCAGTTGTTCCGCTTCGGTCTCGTCCAACTGCTCCACCATAATGGAGGGAAAGTCCAAAAGTCGAAATGCGACTGCGGGCATACGACAAATCACAGTATGTGGGTCTATTCGTAGAGAGTTGACAGCCAACTCCAAAGAGAACAATGTTTCATTGTCATCCATTGTAAGCTCTCCTGTTTAAACTTCACGCTAGAGTTTAAAAGAGTATTCTGTATCAGCTATGCTTCAAAAGATATCGAAATAATGTAAAATAAATCGAAAAAGCCAACAGCCAAAACAGGTTTATCCGACGGACCGCAAACGGCATTTCGAAATTAGAATTCATTACAGGCTTTTAATGTTTGTTGAAAAAAAGAAGTATTTCTTACATAATTTGCAATTTACTGAAAATTATTTCGAATTATCTATATGACTTCTCATATGTACTTATATCAGAAGAGCAATATAATCGAAGCTGTTCCACTTTATTATGTGACGACATATTGCATGTGTACATAATTCTTTAGATTATATTCGAATTGATCTGGAAGCTAGGCTATTTAATAACAAATGCATGCAACGAAGGGAGTGGAGCAACTCGGGAGCGGAGCACCTTCATCACTGCACCCACAACTCCTGGCGCGCGTGTGGTGGAGCTCCGTAGCTGGAGAGATCCGAGCGTATATCGTGGTGTTATTCAAACTCTCCTGGAATCTCTCCCTGTCTGTGGTCTGATATGGCTAATAACCCGAGGGTTAAGCACGTTTTCTTGACGGGTCCACCAGGTAAAGTACTATTTTATAGATACTGATAGGTGTTACCGCGAACTTTGAATTGATTACCCGTTTGGTTTGTGGACTCTAGAATGATGTATTTTGTTCCCTGCCTGCATGAGCTCCCTGGAGTTAGTAGATCTAATATTGTAATATTAAATTAACTAAAAAATACTAAGTAAGAAAGTTAATAATAATAATGAGCCATTGAGCCTATACTAGTACAGGTATATTATCAGTCATGGTTCCTCCTTTTTTTTCTTCCCTTCCACTCATCCAATGTCTTGAATTTCTAAAGCGAAATATAAAGGTACATGTATGTCGTATGGTTAATGTAGATTCTTAAAGTCTCACCTCCCTGGTATAACTTGCAAGTTGCAGTTGTATTCTTTGAAATGAATAAAGTTGAATCCTTTCATTTACATAATTAGTTTTACTGTTTGTTTTATATACTGTAGATCTAGTGAGTAGTGACTGCAGCTCAGTTGAGGTTACTCATTATATTTATTGTGTCTGTTGCAGGGGTTGGAAAAACAACATTAGTGAGAAAAACATGTTCAGAGTTGATGTCAAAGGCGATTCCTCTCCAAGGTTTCTACACAGAGGAACTGAGAGAAGGTGGAAAGAGAACTGGTTTTGATATCATCACATTGGATGGACAAAGAGGCACTTTGGCAAAAATAGGGTGAGTATGAATTTGAAGATAACATGAAGAAATATTTGAAAAGAGCTGTGCTGTTGCCTAACATTGACTTTCAATTAATGAACAAGAACTCAGTATTTACCATTTTTATGTGATATATAAAAACATTAGATTACCTTATACCTTATACAAACTATGTATTACTTTTTCACATCATGCGAAATGAACTGAGGAGTTATCAAATATTATTTTCTATCTGAGAAGAACCAAAATATGCATGTTGTTAATAAAATCGTTTTACAACTTTTTTTTACAAGCATGTCTTATCACCCTTTTTTTTCTTAACACACAAAATAAACCTTGCACAGAGGCCAGAAAGGGCCAAAAGTTGGACAGTATACAGTCAACCTCCAGTCATTTGAAAGGTCAGCATTGCCTGTACTGCTGCCGAAGGTAAGAAAGAAGGAATAAAGTTTGGGTTTTTAAGGTTTTATTAAATCATGTAGATTTATAAAGCTTGTAAAAGTCTTAGAAATAATATTTATATTTTATGCTCCATCTTCACCTAATACATCAATTAGCAAATTTAAATGTTTTATTAATGGGCATTTAAAGTTTACAACAGGGATATTTTGAAATTAAGTTATCAAATATGCTGTAGAACAGTATGAATACTGATGAGGCTACACTGGGTAAACAAGACATATTATTATTATTAATAATAATATAAGGCATATAGATGGAAAATCAGAACAAATTATCTAAATAATTGTGTAAGTGTAAATTTGTGGAAAACTAGGAATAGACAGAAGTTTAATATCATCGAGAAATTAAAGGGTGGGTTTTTAATCTGACTTGATGCACTATAACACTGCTGATATCGGAACAATCAACCTGATTAAATAATTTCACAGTTTAAACCACTTTCAATTGGTCATTTTTGGTTGGTGGCTAGTGTTATGCTGGGCTTTACCGTTTGTAAGCGGTCGACCCATGTACTGCAAAATTGTATCACTTTTTTATTTACATCAGAAAGATTCCTCACCAATCTATGTAATTGATGAGATCGGTAAGATGGAACTTTTTAGCCAAGGCTTCATCCAAGCAGTTAGAAAGCTTATTGATCAACCCAACACAACAATCTTTGGAACCATTCCAGTGCCTAAAGGAAGACCTCTTGGTTTAGTGGAGGAAGTCCGCAGCAGACCTGATGTGCAAGTCTTTACAGTATGTCTTTCAATTTTGAAATCTGAACATGTTTACTAAGAAATGCTTTGTGAGCCATAACGTTTTACGATTAATTGAACAATTTATGTATTATACTAATGAGAGCATGCTAGATTCAGTACTCTGTATTCTATTTCCACAAAGCCACATACAAGTACATGTATTTTGTGTTAACTTAGGTTTCAAATGGAACATCTACAAGGGCAGAATACTAGAAGGCCATTACTCTTTGTCATTGAACTTCCCAGCATACATTTCTCTTTTCAGATTTCTAAGGACAATCGTGATGGAATCATAGAAGAGATCTTAAAGGCTATCAATCAAGCAAGGTCTCAAGGGAAAACATGATGAATATATGTCATAGTGTGGATCAAGCACTTCACTATAGTCAAGAATACAATCTGATCTATGTCTCTACTGGGACAAGGAAGGACTCGTTCCGAACAAGCCTCCACATACATGTATGGACGAGAGGTGGACAATTTTGTGGCTAAGTGGAGCTCACCAAACATGTTATAGCATTGCATGTCTTTTAAATGTTGAATGGCTATTCATACAATTTTTATGAGAACCTCAAATAAAATTAAGATATTTTTTATTAGATACCAATATCTAGTGTTTATGATTAAAATGAAGATTACAACATATTGATTCAGAGGTACATTCTAGTATTACTGCCAGTCACTTGGAGGCATCGTTCCCATACAAATCATTGTGTATCAATGTGTAGCATAACAAATATCATCCAGTAGCAAGCAAATAAGGCACCAATCACAAAGTATTTGAAATAAAGAAATTATGAATTTATTTTTCAAACTGTACAAATTCGTCTTAAATGGCCACCTCTTTTTGTGTTTCATAATCAGACATTTTCCACCAATACATTGTATCAGTATCATAAAGATCATACCGCCTTTTTATTTGGAAGTAAAAACAAGGGTTGCTACTCTCGTAAAAATTTATAGGCTGAACTGTCAATTTAAACATCGTACCATGCAATGCAGAAAAGACAATTTACTTATTTTTAGGGGCTTGATTTTTTCACAACACTTATTATGATGAAGGACAAGATACATGAAAAACATGGATAATGAAATCTTTCCATATTAAACTTTGAAGGTTTCTGTCGTATCTACATGACTAAATAAGTGGTTTTAAACACAACAAAAGGGTTGAAATGAAGAACCTAAAACTTATATAATATCTTTCAATATGTGCCCTGGTATATTAATATCAATGAAATAAACCTGAATGTGATGTTCTTGTGTGCTACTGCTATCATCCATTGAGGAGGGTATTGAGATCAATATGCTAATACATCTATTCTTCCTTTGAAATCAGTGTAATGGACAAACAAACTTTGTTGTTTGAAAGACTCAGAATGTGCCTGATAATTGACTCATGCTCTCACTTCGCAGTATCATTTAATAAAATTCAATTTCCTGGTTATCTGGACATCCTTATTAAAAAGAAAAACCCAACCTATCTGCAACTAATAACGCTTCAGAAAGATGCAATAATAAATCAAGATTAATATGCCTTTTCAATCACCATTGATGATGGTGCTTCACGGCAGATTTCTTACATGATAATTACACTGTTAACATGCTACTTGAAATATTATCATCAGTTTCAATGTCATCTTATTTTGCTAATTATTTAACAATCTTGCCCATGTAGCTGTCATTAAAAAAAAAAGACAATTTCTAAGATAACAAATATTTTGACTGTTTTGGGGTCAATATTTTTCAGGGTGCTTTGTGCTTGACTTCATTGATTAAATCGTCCCTATTTTCACGAAGTGACGGTAGTGAATGAAAATCGCATTCAATTTGCGTGCAGATTTTCCTCACTACCGTCACTTTGTGAAGACAGGAACGAAATGTAGATCAAATTTTACAACAGCTGATAGCGTGTTTTCATCTGAAACTTGCACTGTAACTTTAGGGAGATTTTGATTGATTATTTGAATGAAGGACATTTTCATTACTACAATGGTTTTGTTCAACAACACCATTTTACTTTTATATTATCCGACAGTCAAACACATTCAAAATATAACATAATCTGTAACAAAAATATTTGTTATAAAACATTCAATAAAAGCTCTAGCACTCTTGAGCATTATCAATTATTCACTAGTTTGTTTTTCAGGATTTACATTAAATTCACTTTCCACTCAAAAGTATCCAGCTTTAGGCCAAGAGAAATGCAGCTTAGTTTCATTTCACATAAATACAATAAAATCGCACACTCACATACACATAAAACTTTCTCATTCTCTGTCTCTTCCTCACTTTAAAAAAACATGAAATACATAACATCTATAGCATAAATCACATCGCGTCAGTTTTTGTCATCTCTTAGATACATATGATGTCAAAAATATATTGTTTACATTATGAGGAATGAGCTCGTAGTTGGTTAAAGATTAACCAGGCAAATACAATGTACATCAAAAGTCCAATGACCTATTATGAAGAGATTGCAAAACAAAAAATGAATATAAACAAGACATCATAATGGGGCAGTATCTCCTCAACGATATCTGCATGTGTAATAAAAGATTATGATGAAGTAGGATTATTTATATTGAGCTTCTAATCTTTTATACATGTATTCCATTGTTTACAATTTGCTTCCATGTTTTGAATGCTCAAAAGCATGTAGAAAGAAACTATTTTGTGGTCAGGTAAAATCAGGATTTCCAGTATTTCACTCAAGTTCTTACCAATTTCCCTGCAGACAGTTAAAGAAGTTAAATGGATTGGATTTGGAATGCTTGTAATATCCAAGCAAACAGCATGATCTAGAAATGCCAAAGTAAAGAGGCATACTAGTTCTAGCATAGAGCAAGGCCAAAACATCTTGTAAAAAATAACTTGCAAAAATAGAGGGTTGCTGAATCATATCTATATCCCTGATGATGGACTACTTTAACACTGCATGACAGAACATTCTATTACAAGTACAGGGAAAGCTCTGAAATAAGGGTAAATAAGGTACATCATTAATTAATAGGGAGTTAAATGCCATGTATACAAGTACTGTACCAATATGGAGGACTTGGCCTGTTTTAACATAAACCTTGGTTGAACTATATTATACAGGAGTACCAGTCTAAAAACAGGGAAATGCTGCTCCAGTGTTCACTGATTAGTACAGGAGGGGACTGACTTGTTTTGAAAAAGAGACTGTGATTAATATAATTCCAATGTGATTGATTATAGGAGGATATCAAGCCAATAGATTCCAATTCTCCCACACAAGTAACAGGAGGAGCAAATTGTGTGTTGGCCGCATTGTTTTACTCACTTATCATGTTTCATTACATCTTAAGTAATTGCCTAATTGTCTTATTACAGAAAACAAATAATGTATGAGAAGTAATCTGCGAGGCAATCACCCCAGGACAATTCAACTCTGTAGAATGATTATCCTTTCTTGTGAAAGTGAAATTACTTTGGACTGCGAATATCTGGCTGGTGTTTACATTTTGAGAATATGACGATCTGTATACCGAGCCCCTATATTAAGTGACGAGCACTGTTGAACCTATGATGGACTCTATTTCACACCATTTACAAATCTACATTCTAGCTGATAACAACTCACATTAATGTCGCATTGTGAAGTATAGTGGAATTTCATTACCAAGAACACCATTATAACAAAGTTTCATTACAAAATGATAATTTGACTGGCCCAATTTCTTTGTTTCTGTAGTTCGATAGCTCTGGGCCCGTCTGATTAAAAGTTGATATTAAGTTTTTAACAATCTTCTCTTTACACCCTATCTTGACTATCGTGAAATCTTCATTACATACCGGAGGATATAAATTCATTACTTAACCTACAGTGATGAGCTACTGCTGACCTTCTGGTCAGACTACATCCAAGTGGGTGGTTTAAGAGGACTACATCAATTTTGCAGCTTGAAAGTATGCACTGATATATTTATTACCCATTACAAGTTACTTGTTAGGGACAATTTTCCATTGGGGGTTTCTCCTGAAATCCTCCATGCTTGGTATTGGCACTAAGGGTGTAATATTCTGTATGATCCATTGAATCTAATTTTGGTAATCTAACATTAAGAGGAAATGTTGCTGACATTGGACAAATGATGATGGGAGCATCTATAATGTTTTTGTTTGTGAAGCATCCTTCATCCATATGATGCAGGCCTTGCAGGGAATCCAATAACTTCAGGTTAACGGTATATGTTGACAGGGTTCAGCTGGCAGGGTTATCTCTGTGCTACTATAAGAATCCACACACACACACTGTCTTTGACTAGGAGTCAATTTATCATCACATGAAGCCAAACATAGAATTTGCATAGGCCATCGGTCTCACGTTAGGATGAGGCTGCACAAAGAAATGGGAAGATAGAATTCATGAACAAATTCTGGTGAACTCGTCAAAATTAAGTCTCTGTTTTTTGGACACTGAAGATTCAATCAATTATGAGGAAAGGAAATTTAAAACTTTTTATTTGTATTACTGAACTATCAGAAGCATCATTGGGCATACAATATCTTTCTTATATAAAAACTTCACAATTAAGATACTTGTTTCTGTTTCAGCAAGAAAACTTTGCCTTCAGTGCAATCACATGGTACAAACTCTTATTCCTTTCCAAGATTTTTCCACCAACCGCACAGAAAGTTTTGAAATTGAATGTACCTTTAGTGTTGAAAAGTAAAAATAGTTTTTAAAGCTTTCATACATGCTCAAACTAACACATTCAAACAATTTGTGTAATGGCAATGTATATCAAGTCTTTCTTCTACTTACCACTGCTTCATAAGTCTTGAAGTTTGGTTTGAGGTCTGCGCCTAGATTGATGAAAGCCCCCTTGTTGCCAATTTGATCGCTGTAGAGCGATGGAGAGGATGAAAAAGACATTTGAAATTATAAACAGACCAAAATATATATCACATCAAAATCTACATTCCCATACATAACTGTTAAGAAAACAAAGCAATACAATGCCAGATAATAATCAAGAGGTTAATCAAATGACTTGCTTCTTCATGTTTATAGTCTACATGACAAAGAAAATATCTAAACACCTCTTGACACACATTTTAGCAAAATTTAAATAAAATAAAATGGGTGTTTTTCATTTTAAGAAAATTCAAAGAATTTTCCAGGAAGTTCAGTTCAGAACCAAAATGAGCATTGCAATAGGATGATAGTGAGTTTACTAATTCACTTTCATGCTTAGAATCAGAAAAACCCAAAATATGGCAACATATAACATAAGTAAAGTTGGATACTACTCGTTCAGATGCTATCACACATAGCACATGAATGCGCTTGCCACCTGGAGCTCCAGGAAGGGATACATAAATGTGATACATTCAAAATGCAAGTCCAATGTGACATCAAGATTAATTATTATCATCATTATTTCATTTGACAATAAACTCCTTGCTGGGTACAGTACTGAACCATTTTGGTGACTTTCTAAATATCCTTACCAGTAGTTAGGAGCTGAAAACACTGTAATGCACTTCCCATCATGGGTGACTTCATAGCCCTCATTCTTGACTTCATGACTCCTGACGATGTACTCTAGGTTGTTATGTTCCAGGAACTTCTTGGTGACATCTGGTCCAAACTGGATCCCAACACCTCTCTTACTAGGAGACCTACCTGGTCTAGGCTGAGGGTCTGACCACAGTAATTCACACATCAAACCTGCATACCGGTACAAAGATACAAATGTTCAAGAATTAAGAATGAACTGATTATTTTGGAATAAGACCGAACAGAAGGCACTTTACGTTTATAAATGGTTTGCTTTAGCAAGCCTACAAGTTTACCAAACATGTAAATGATATTCTCTTTATTTATAATGCAACTAAATGTGTTTAATAGGTATGAAAACATTGAATACATTTTACGACCTGAAAAAAGGAATGAAAAGACCTCCAGGCTGTAAGTGATTTTGCTATTAAAGGATTCAACAAAATATTACAAGTCTTCAATAATCTTGAGAACCCAGTAAAATAATTGCCTTTACTTAATCAGAAAATGCTTGATACGTGTCCTAATACTTTTGAAAGCTCTTAATAACTTAGAATGATCCATCAGAAGAGGAATTTCCAGAGTGATCAATCTGCTGTCAGAGGGTAACATACCTGTCATCTGTCATTAGCTTACCTGATTCAGGAGGTTGTCTATTCCTATCAATAATTCTCAGGTCATCTATCGTTACATTATCTTGACTGAATAGCCCTCCATGCATTACCTACATAGACAAAACACATCAACCAAAAAATGCAATTAAACAAACATCACTTAGTATTTAAAGATCAATGCATAATTCATGTTCTGAGGTATTTACATGCACAGATACAGTGGATAGCATAGCTTCCTTATTAGATCTAATCATGCACTAAACCTGGAAAGAAAATACATCTGGACCTTATTTTATAAAACAATAACAAATGCTAAATTTCCTATGACAAATAAGCTCTCAGCCGATTAGATGCCACAATTTCAGTAGTTTATAACAGTTTATTGTAAATGTTATGGAACTTGGCCTAGTTACTATGCTTTACTACATTAGATATCTACTAACATTTACCACCCAAACAACTCAAATAAAAAACACTCATAGTTACCATGACTTTTTTATTGATGAGCTGTGCTAGAGGTAGCCAATTATAGACTTCTTGAAAGAGATCAGCCATTTGATTGGTGTACTTTGATCTCACTTCACCATAGAAACCATACATCTGATTCATTGTGTCACTCTCATGGTTACCTGCACATCAAGATATCATTTCAGTAAACTAATTAAAAGAGCAAATCTACATGGTAATTTAGTTCAAAACTTCTGAATCCCTTTCTCCTACATCTTCCTACTTTCTTCACTTCCTTCATATATCTGTCTTTTTTCCCTCAACCTCTTTCTCTTTCTTCTTTTTCTTCTTCTTCTCCTCTTCCTCCTTCTTCATTATCATCAATATCATTTCATCTTCCTCAGCTCTTTCTTCTTCTCCTTCTTTTTTAAAATTTTCTATAATCTGTTAGATGGATTAAGATTTCATCTTCTCTTAAACATACTTACATGGTATGAAGCAGAGGGTGATATTTGAACAACTCAAAGTCAATACCTGTTTATCACTACTTCTTAAGAATGTACCATTCTAATTCTCTACACTTACCTCTTGATAAATGAAAGTGATCTGGGTAGAGCAGCTTGAAACCAAATAATGTGAGAATAACTTCTACTGAGAAGGACCCCCTGTCTACAAAGTCACCATTGAATAGCTACACATCAAGTGTTAAGGATATGTTTTATACTTTAACAAACAATTAAATTATAGTTTTGGTATTTCAAAATACTTCCATTCCTGATGTTGAGCTGACAGTTCTCATAACATGTAAAATAAAAAATATCAATTACTTAGGAATTAGGAGAGACTAGTATTAAACAAGCCACATTATATTTGGCAGGATGGTAACTTCTATATGTTTTGTCACTTGTAAACCTCCTGAACAAACAAACTGGTAGAAGATCCTCTCCTCCATATATTTCATATTATATTTTTATGTCTCTTTAGTCTCATTTTTCTAGCCAGGGGCAGGGGTAACTATTACTAAGAATGATCAGCTTTCACAGAGAGAAATGGTAACAAACACTCATATCAAATCAAATCTGTGTGTATAAGACACACCCTATTGTTAGAACCAAGACCAGATTTTTAATTTTTGTTTGCGTCTTATTTCTGCATTCGGTAGAAAAAAGGTGCTTCTTATACACAGAGATTTACGGTACACAAATTTTGTGTTTTTCATTTGGTTGTTTGTGACAGTCACACACATCAGTACTTTGCATTCCTGGTGTTAAGCAGATGGTTCTCAATCTGACAGTAAACATGTACATTACTTGGGGAGAGACTAATAAACTAGCCATATACAGTACATGTAAATAATACAAAAGATACAAATGAAGTTAAATAAACGATGCATTGTTTTGAAAAGGATACATATGGATTATCTTCTGATGGTAAGCCATTGATCTCAAATATATTGAGTAGATCATAGAACTGTCCATGGATGTCTCCACATATTGTGAACTTCTTGCCTTCTGGTATAGTGATATCACATAAGCTAGGTAACTTCTTAAACATGGCCAGGATTTGTACTAACATCTGTATGGGAAACAAAAAGATATACAAAATTTTAATTCAATAAACAGTACAAAAAATGGGACCAAAAGTAAAAAATATATTGCTCTGAATATGTGTTGATAATGATTCTATATCTTCTAATAGATACCCAATTGATCAGTCTCCTCTACTGTATTAAAAGTAAACTTACGTAAATTCTGATAAAAAAATATAGCAACGTCCAATAAGGTAAAGTAGCTGACAATAGTTGTAAATTACTAATATAATTTTTATATAACTAAACAGGATGCTGCATTGCTGATAGCACATGATTAATCATTGGCAAAGAAAATGGAAGGGAATTCCATGTAGGTTAAGTGTAACTACTTCTAGTTCAAAACGTTTTTTGGTAGGTGTTTATAAAAAAAAAATTATACTCAAATGACTTGTTGTGTGGATTGTTTTCATATTGATAAAGCATGTACACATGCCATCAACTGGTTCCTCCTTCATTGATAATGATTAGAAGTGCACTCACCGTATAAGCAAACTTTCTGTGAAGAGCCTTCTCATCTTTGAAGTGTTGTAAGAGTTTCACCATGAAATCTTTGGTTACTTTGTCATTTTCTAGAGCTGGTCCTTCATAATCACCTTCAATGACTGGGAAACATCAATCACAACACACACAAAATAATCAAGATAAAGTCACAGAACAACTCTTTGAGCCGTTGAAGTGAACTTTCATTTCTTACTTATTAATTGCTATTTACCTTGTTTATCCAAAGCAAACAATGTAAATCCAGCTGGTCCTCCCAATCCTAACATTTCAGCAGACTCTATGACCTGTAATTCTATTCATACATGTATATTTGTCTCTTTCATTAATTCTTGTCTACCTTTCATAATTGCCTCACAAATATTTTAACAGAAGCTGGCTCCGAAACTTGTGGCATATTTTAAATGTTTAAAAAATTCATTAGTAAACATCAGCACAACACAAAGGCCTTCAGAATATAAACACACTTACATGACTGTGTTCAGAAAAGATAACATGTTGGCTTTCAATTACATTTTAAAAATCATATAGACCTATATTCTTTATGATTCATTAATACTGACCCATATTAACCAAGTTTGAATTTGATAGCAGTTTCTTCCAATTCAAATGACCTACCTATATGTATTTCAGTTTTATTCTGTGCTGAAAAAAAATGCATGCATCTACTTTACAAAAATTGAATTTTGAACCCGAGGAAACTTGAATGAACTCATTGGTAATTTGGTAGTGGATGTTACATTGATGTATAGAATTAAAAACCATCCCAGATAACTTATAATCATGTATTACATATGAAAATTTACAAGCAAAACAATGATTGATTTATGTTTTCAGTGTTCACCTGAAAAATTTCATGCACATTTGCTTAAATGAAATGTGGGATGGAACATCTCCAAAAAAAAAAAAAAAATTCGAATTGCTCGATATCTCAATGACCTTGCCGTCATTTTGTGGCCCATAAAACTTCTTGCGCTGATTCTACATGACTTCATTTTGAATGTTAGATAGTGGGTTTAACATTAGGTCCATGTACTTACTCATGTTTTCTAGATTGATAGTATCTATGACAGACTTCTTCTCCTCAGTATGCCCTCTGATTGCCCTCTCAAAGGCCTGTTGCTTGACCAGTTTACTGCACTCTGTATACTTGGTTTTAGCATCCTTATCATTCGGTCTGTACTTAACCACCTAACACACAAAAACATATGATACATTTTTGAAAAATAAATAATGAATTTTGTATCTATTTATTTATTCATCATTATTTTTAAAATATGAAAACGATTATAAAACTATCCACATCAGGGAAAAACCACTTTGAAAAATCATTACTGTGAATCTCAAAAGCAACAGAATTTTATGGCGGAAAAAAAGCAGATAAGGATGAAATTCTTTAGTCCCTTTTCAGCAAAATTTTCTTATCAGATTGTTTACTCTATTGTATACATTTTTCATATAGTTCGCTGTGTTGTGCACAAAGTTCTTACCATTTCATAGTCCTTGAGTGCTATCTTGATCTTGCCTAAAGCCATGTTAGCTGTAGCCCTCCTGTAGTATCCCTAAAAAGAAAAATGATTCACAGCACAAAAGAATAAATTAAATGATTATAATGATAATAAAAAAAAACCAATGCATTACCTGCCGATGCATCGATACAACATTAGTTTGTACCCATTCTTCCATAACAATTAAGAAATACATTTCTATAGTGCATATTACAAAAGTTAACAAACTATAAACTCTTTGGTCCAAAATAACTCCAAATTCTACTAATGCTTCACCCCAACACTTAGTTTAAGCTTGGAATAAAGGTGAGTTTAATAAAGGCAGTTTGACCGAGGTCCAGTCTAGTCCAGTCTATGCTTTGCTTTTCTTTTCAACATGACTTTAGTCCTCACGTCAGTTTTAACTGCATTAGTATAATTCTGGCATAAAATGTAAAACATCAGAAGTAGGGCTTTTCATTTACCACAAATCTACCTTTGACTATAAATTTCAAAGCATGCTTATCAAATAATTAGCCAATAAAACTGCTCCTCATTAAAATCAACACAAAATAAATATTCAATTAAACAGTACATGTATTTGCTAATTTTGAGCTATCTGTTAAGTTTAAAATTGAGAAATATGCTTCACAGTTCATAAAGCAACTAATTGATGAAGATTTTATTGGGGCAATTACTACTAGAGTGCTATTGTATGGATGCATAGGGTGAGATCATGGATGAATTAATTAGAAATCAGATGTCCTGTTAGACAAATACCCCATTTTTGTTTCACTCAACAACTTGTGTTCCTTCCTGGTATGACTATAGAATAACCATACAAGAACTTTTTCAATTATTCTGTACCAAGTTGGTAGGCGAAAAAATGTTGTAAAAATGTCCTTTCTTTTCTAATATGGATTCCTTCAGAAGATTTCCTCAATTCTGACCTTCTTGCCATTCTGTCTTTAATCACTCTGAGGAGTATTTACCTTGATATATGACTTGTCTAGTTCCAAGGCCTTGCTTGCATCTTCTAACGCTGATCCAAAGCATTCTGTCTTGAGGTAAGCAAAACTCCTATTACCATGGAAAGCAGCTACTGTAGGGTTGATCTCTAATGCCTCAGAGTAATAAGTGATCGCTTGTTGAAAATCTTGAGCTGAATAAAATTGAAAGATAAAAAAAAAAAGACACAAGAGATAATCGATGGTCACTTTAAAAAAGGTAGGTATATTATAGGAAAATTACTCTCTTTGCAGGAACGCACACAAAAGTGCCAAACATGCATCAGTAAATAACATGGTTTGGTATTGCTGCTCTTCCCAGTACATTAATTGATGGTCCAATACCACAGATTCATTAGACTGAAGTCCCACAAGACCCTCTTTCTATCATGGCGTGCGTGCAGCAAGGATTACTGTCTGTGTGTGGGGAAGGTTGACAAAAGTTGAAATAATGTCAGTTTCAAGTTTTGTATTAAACTTTAAGAATTCCCTACCAGTACTGCCTACTGGCAATAGTCTAGACTCTAGTATAAAAGGTAATTTTTCTAATTTGCAGGCAACAAAATGAAGGTCTTAAATATTCCTACCGACTGCATTTAATGATAGAGTCTAATACAAATTTAGATTTTAGAACTTCCCTCAAAACAAAATTAGGCATTGAAAAAATGTACCCTTTATAGCTCATTATATGTTATACAAGAGTAGAATACCTTTGTTTAATAGAGTTTAGATCTAGAGTCTTATTTATTATTAATTTATTTGCTCAATCATTGGCTCAATCAATGGCTGTGCCTGTGCATCTGTCTTTACTAATACTTCAGAGTTAGACTAGCTAGTGCCGGTATTGATGGAGCCTTTTTGAAGTGCAGCAGTCTGTAATACTATAGCCACATCTGTTGAAAATTTCAGAAACACACTTTAGCATGCATCACCTGCCATACAAGTAAGCGACATGCGGAATACCGCCCTGCTGACTGAACTCCAAATTCAGCTCAGAAGGTTCAGAAGAAGGAACAGAGCAGCTATAACAAGATTTATTTGTCTGGGAGGTAAGTGACGACAACAACAAAAGGTGTTTAAAAAAATCCTCCCGCCTGACCTACTTTTCTTTAAAACAATTGCTTGTGGTCCCACACATTAAATAATATTGCGGGCTTTAATCTCCATCCACACATGCATCACAAATCCTATGGCAATGCAAATTGCAATCACAAGTCGACAACAGCAATTACAACACAGGTATCAACGCCAGTGGACATGGACCGCACTGCACTCCTCAGTTCTTTTACAGAAAGAAGGAGAATTTGGAAGGTTTACCTTTAAAATATGTATTAGCCTTGTCTTTGAGTGCCTCTGCTTTCTCTCTGTCTACCTCACTTATCACTGGTTTGTCTATTTTTATGTCAGGAATCACATTTATTTTCGAAGAATCACCGGTGCCTGCCATCTCGACTTGTCCGCTCGTACGTAATCTGGCCCTGTGTTGTGCGTACTATACTTTTGTGTGATATCCACGTGAGATCGAGAGCTATAGAGAGGACATGCACACTGCATGAATGCATTCGAATTCGCATGCGCATCACTGAATTAGTTATTGATGTCTGGAAGATAAGCCTTGCGGAAATATTTGGTGGACAGAACTGCCATCTTGGTAATCCAAATTCCGTGGCGAAACGCAGCGGCGGATTATGAAATTCCCCTGGTTATTTACATGAATAAATAAATAAAAATAAGATAATTGAAATAAATTGATTTTATATGATGACAGCTACAAGCTGATGTATCTTGAATTTACAGAATTTACAGGGTAAGAAGAAGACAAAGAAGAAGAAGAAATAAAATAAATCATATGGTCAAATGAATCTGACCACCCCAAAAATGCCTCTCCAAACATTCTTAGTTATTGGGAGTATCACGTACGGGGGGATTTCCATAATCATGGCCTCATGGAAACCCTACTGTCCATTGCTTAAAAAAGTCTTGTTTAAATTTGTTAAGTGGACCCCTCTGTTTCCAACATGTATTTCTTACACAGTGCATATTGATTTGTAATGTTTTGTTGGAAACATGAATAAATTGAAATTGAAATTGAAAATTGAAATTGTTTTCAGTTGTAACAAGGCTTGTTTGCTCAAGCAGGATGACCAGAGTTTGTTTTTGAAGGTTTCTACTGAATTGCAGGTAATAATGTTGGGAGGGGGCGGGTACATCCAGGTCCGCGGGTTCTCGGAAAGAATGTTAAACTATATTAGGAGGTCTCACCTCCCTGATGAAACTAATATTGGATCCATGTTGCCTCTTATGTTAGAGAAGGACTATATGGTGTCCCTTCAGGATAATGGGGAACATTAAAAAGAAGAAGAAACAAAAAACACTAGACATGCGTTGACACAACACGGATAAATAGACATAGGGTGAGACTGGGGCGGTGGTCCGTCTTCCAAATTGGGGGAGGGGCACCAACAGAAAAGGGGGACCTACAAAGTGAAACCTCAAAGTGAACATCATTTTTAGACATTGGTATATTATATCCCTACATCGTAATTATTGCGATTATTACCACTGTTTGCTCTCATCATTTATTGGCATTTGTCTCTCGAGGGACGTAAAAATCAAAGGAAAAAAAGGGAAAAGGACACTTATTAGAAGGAAAAAGTGCACTTATTAAAAAGGAAAAGGGGCACCAGTCAAAGTATTGAGAAAAAAAAGGGCAAAAATATCAGAGGCCATATATTTTTATGAAGGAAAAGAGGCACCTGTCAGATTTTGATAGTGGCAATTATTAGGGGGTGTGGGGGGGGGGCATTTATGAGAAGGAAAAGAGGCACTTTTAAGAAAGAAAAAGGGGCACGTATAGGCCTACATGTATCAAAATAAAAGGGACACATGTCATATGTAAACAAGGGAACTCATCAAAGAAGAAAAAGAGTACTAATCAGAAGGGGAAAGGGATGTAATTATTACAAAGGAAAAGGGGCACTTGTCATTTTATTTTGTCAATGTTAAACGTGTACCTGTCATATTTTAATACGGGCAGTTATCAGAGGTGATAAGGGGTACTTCTCGTCCCTTAAACAGGACACTGACCAGAGATGGAAAAGGGCACTGCTATGAGGAAGGAATCAAGGGACACGTATTGCATAGGAAAAGGGGCACATATCAGATTTTAATAGGGAATTTAACAGAGGTAAAAAGGGACATTTATGAGAAATTGAAGGGGATCTTTTTTTAAATGCCCCCCACCCCTAAATGGGGGGGGGGGTGCACATATCAAAATGAAAAGTGGCACTTATTAGAAGGGGAAGGGCAGTTCTTACAAACGAAAAGGGGCACTCTTGTCCTATGTAAAAATGCGTACTATACCTGAAAAAGTGGGGCGCTGTGCCCCCTGCCCCCGGGAGGCTTTTTTTGGAGCGAGATGCTCTATAGTTTCGAGCATTTTAAGGGTACAAACCCTTGCCAGTCGGCATGCATAGCATTGTCTGCAATATGAGACTACAGTAATAATAATAATGAATAATAATAATAAAAACGTTACTTATAAAGCGCTTACCACCGAAGTCTCTAAGCGCTAGTAGCCTGTTGGAGAAGGAAACAGACACTGACATGTAGAAACTGCCAGAATATAGGCTCTGCTCAAGATTGTAGGAATTGTGGTAAACAGGCGCGCCGGAAGCAGTTTGGGATTGGGGGAGGGGGGGGGGGGGAAACATTCCAGGGGCAGTAACGTAACGAGAAAAAAGTTCGGAAGGGGGGGGGGGCGGCAGACGAAAAATCTGCATCACCACCAGTCTTACACGTTACATGCAGGTCCCGTTGAACGTTTTTCAAAGTGGAGTATTATCGATCAGGTATATAGAGCGTAAATTGGCGTGGGGTCCAGGGCATGCGACTCGGCAGGAGGTCAAGGGGCTGAGCCCCCGGAAGCTCAGGGGTTTTAGGTATTTGATTACGGTTAGATGAGCATCCAGGGGCCCTCTGTAAGGCAATTGACGTGTTCCAAGGGGGGGGGGAGAGCCCCCAGAAGCTCAGAGGTTTTAATATTTAACTACGGTTAGGTGAGCATCCAGGGGCCGTCTTAGGGCCCTTGGTGTGGTCCAAGGGGTAGAGCCCCCGGAAGCTCAGGGGTTTTAGGTATTTAATTACGGTCAGATGAGCATCCAGGGGCCCGCTTAAGGGCCCTTGGTGGGGTCCAGGGGGCAGAGCCCCCGTAAGCTCTCGGGTTTAAAGCATTTAATTAGGGTCAAAATGAGCATTTTTTATACCTTATTTGTGACATTGGCAGGTCACTTATTTTTTTCTCCGTCTTCCTTTCTTTTTCTCTTTAACATACTTTTTCAAAAAGGAGGGGGGGGGGGGGGGGGCTCGAGCCCAGCCACTTTGCAGACCATGACATAAAGGCTTCTAAATAAGCGTACTTCGCCTGAATTTGGGAATTTCTTATTTTCCAACAAACGTATAAAAAGGTATGACTTACAAAAAAAATGGAGAGCAACAACAACAACAACATTTGTAAATCACTTGTTTCGAATAAGAAATACATCACCCCCCCCCCCCATCAGTACGCCAGCATTCAGTGGCTCATGTCTTCTCACCCCTATAACAACAAAAAAACGGACACGCTTTCCCATTCTCGCACAATATGTCCACGATATGTGCGTATCGCTATTATAGAGACCTCCATTGATAAATACCGTATAGGTGGCATACGCAATGTTTATGAAATTCAATTCCTGTGAACTTTCCTTTTTCTTTGAATGGAATTATATACGTGATTTAATTCAGGTTTTTATTACTGTTACGTTCTTTTGGATTAAAAATACAAACCATGTTTACTCCTTTACTGTTTTTTGTTTTTTTTTAGGGGGGGGGGGCGTTTTTTTTTTGGGGGGGGGGGGCAAAAATGCGTTTTGCCCCCCCCCCCCCCCCGCCCCCACACTTTTTTGACTTGTGGTAAAGTGTCAAGTTAGAGTCTTCGCTTGCAGACACAATCATACATCATTCCATTCTCTCAGTCGCATGAGTAGCAATTGACGGCCAAACCGCGTCGGTGATTCAGTATGACGTTCAGTGGCGGATCCAGGAATTTCTTACGGGGGGGGGGGGGGCACAGCATCGCATGGGGTGAAAGATATTAAAAAAACGATGAAGCGAAGCGACAGCGGCGAGGCGTCAACGACGAGGGAGCGGAGCGACCAAGCGGGGGTGGGTTCTGGTCTTCTGGAGGGAGTCAGAACACCCTCCCAGAGTAGGAAGCATTTGAAATTTTAGAACCACATTAGGCGCAATTTCAGTCACTTCCTGGAGTAGTATGACATTATCTCCTACCCCCTCTAAAAGAAGGAATCTTTTGCAATTTGAAAACCAAATTTGACGGCATGTACTTGAAAAAAAAATACTCTTGTCCTCCATGTCAGTAATTTTTTTGAGAGAACTCAACTTCTTTCACCATTATAGACACAAGATAAAATGCCCACAGTATGGGTTTACTGCAGCTGACATTAAATTTTCTGGACCCACAATCTGTATGGTTAATAAATAAGCAGTTTGCATCAAAATAACAGTACATTAACAACTTAGTACAGGAACATATACAATTTCCACAATCTAGATCGTTTAAATAAAAATGAAGGGGAAATGGTTGAAGCTCAAACTGGAAGCAACAAACATTACAATTTATTGTATGCGATGGAAATGATTGCGAAACGGATAGAAACTTTGTGTTAGGCAGAATTGTACTCTTCGCGGCCACAGGATGACAGAAAATAATATGACAATGAAACGAGCAACTGTACGTGGCAGGATTAATGGCGGGGACATGATCTGCTGAAAGAGCACTTAGAATAGGTATATCGGAAAATTCATTCAAGAGTAAGTTATAAGTTATAAGTTATAAATGAGATAAAATCTTTGGCATTAGTCATGTTCGACTTAACTTTGTCCTCCTTTTTCTCATCTCCCCTTTTCTCTTCCCCCTTCTACTTCTTTCTCTCTTCCCTTTTTCCTTTCCCCCTCCTCAGTTACTCCTTTTATCCCTTTTCCTTTCCCCCTTCCCCTTCCCCCCTTTTTACCGGGGGGGGGGGGGGGCGTGTGCTCCCTGAATCCGCCACTGACATTGTGGTCTCGGACATCGACTCGAAGAACAGATAGAAGTGGGTCTGGACATGGATCATCATCATGACCTATATGTATTAATGTTAAAAAAATATAAATCTATGTTAGACTAATATGTTTTCACATTACAAAATTGAACTATGTCAAATTCATATTGAGGAAGTGATGACAATTCTTTGAACAACTTAGGGATATTATCAAAACAATGATATATAGTTGTATCCCCTGATCCCCTGTGCTGATCCCCAGCGGCCCTGACATCTTGACTATTTTCTTTCTATTCCAAAATTATCGTCCCGGATGATCTGATGTGGGGAGGATACTCGTCAATCGATTTCTCAGGCAATTTAGACTTTTTTGGTCTGAGTGATTATAACGATTATAACGATATGACCATGGGTGTCGATCCCGGGGGGGGGGTAGGGGGTATATACCCCCCCCCCCCCAATATTTCAGGTGTGGGGGGGGGGGTGGCCTGTACAATCGTCCCCCAATAATTCACCATAAAAAAAAATGAAGAGAAAAATTAATAATGAGAGCCCGATGAGAGTAGTTAATTGTTATTACTCGCAAGATGACCATCAATATACACATTTTGCTATCTCATTTTCAAAATACACACGTAAATGAGACTATATGAGACAAGAATAAATTGAATTCTCGCTCATACGGCTTCATCAGAAATTGATGAATTTATTCAATTTATTCAATCAACAGCATCATAGAAATGCAGTACGCCAAATGCAAAGCCGCAGCGTTATAAAGCAACGAGCTAAATGTTAAGCGCGAAGCGCAAAAGTGCAAAAGAGAGGTAGAGAGTGGGAGAGGGAGATAATGAGAGACAGAGAGGATACAGGGGTGGTAAAAGAAAGAGAGAGAAAGAGAGAGAGAGAGAGAAAGGAAGAGGACATAGGAAGAAAAAGGATTAAGAGTCGAGAACGGCACAACGAATCGTCTTCTTCAATTTAATGAAACATCAAAGCTTCCGCGCTTCGTGCGGGAAAGGAGGGGGTATGGGGGGAACTGAATTTAGACAAGGATTAAGAGTCGAGAATGGTACAACGATCGTCTTCTTTCTTTAACAATTGAATGAAAGGTCAAAAGAAACTGAATTTAGACAAGGATTAAGAGTCGAGAACGGTACAACGAATCGTCTTCTTTCTCTAATAATTCAATGAAACATCAAAAGCTTCCGCGCTTTGCGCGGGACGGGAGAAACTCCCCCTTCCTGCACCCACCCTTCCCCCCTAGGGAGCGCGCTTCGCCGCTTTGCGTGCTCACTGTCGCCCCCATAAAAATAGAATCCTTGCTACGCGCTTGAGCTAGAGGATAATAATCGTTATTGAGGGTGATTTGAAAAAGTTAATAACTTGGAAGGGAGGGGGTGCAACTTGCCACACGCTTCTACCTCTTGGTTGCTTTGATCCATTGCCAAAAATATTTTGGCACCCATCACCCCACCCCCCCCCCCCCCCCCCCCCCTAACTACTGGTAGGCCTAACGAAATCGACACCGTTGGATATGACCTTTTTATTCATTATTTTAATTTTTTAATATGTCATGTAATTTTTTTTAAAACTCTTCATTCTTTTGTTTCCTGGAAGCACTGAAAACTGAAAACTGCACACTAGAAATTTGAAACAGTAGAACACGGAAGAAAATGGGAGTCTGGGAGAAACATAAATATAGACTAATTTAGTCAACATGCGCTGACAAGCCCCTGGCCTGGCCTGCAGCACATTGCCAGACAGACAAGCGCTGCGCGAGGCGAGTTAGCAGCAGACTTTGACCCCTGAAGTTCAGCGTGTGTTGCCGATCTGTTTTCGTGCCCGGGTTGTCCTTCTGCTTACTTAGTTCTGGATCTGATCTGAAGCCGGAGAGCCGTGACTACATTTGTATCCAAAACCAGGAGAATTTGTCTGCGCTGCCCACAATGGCTGATGGTAGCTCGAAAGATCTGCCCTTCAGGGTAGAGTATGCTAAAAGTAACCGTGCATCGTGCAAGTCATGTCGCAACAAGATTGACAAGGAATCATTGAGATTGGCCAAAATGGTGCAGGTAAGTTTCAGTTTTTGACTTTAGCATAGCCCCATAACCTATGGGGATCACACCCAACATGACTGGCTACGCACCCGCGTCCAGAAAAAGTGGCGAAAGGGTGTCGTTTCCTTAAAAAAAGGTCTTTTTTCAAGCACTAATCAAACAAAAACCACAAGAAGGGGTACCTTTTCAGGATCACAGGTTTTGACGTTTTCTTAAAAAAGGGTCATTTCAGAAAAGGTGCTTGCAATAATACGCCATTAGCTTAGCCTACCTGATTACATTAGATTAGGGTCCATTTCTGAGCTTGATGGACACGGTGGGTAGCATTACTTATGAGAGTGACAGAGATTCCAAGTTCAAAGATCAGCTATGCGTGACATTTTCATGACTCGGCGCGGGCAAGGGTGTAGCGTATATTAGGTCTAGAGTCTAGTGTACGTTTCGAAATCGCACGCCCACGTGAAGTGACGTGATAGCCAGCCTGCATGCATGCTATGTGCATACGACAAAAGTGGGTGCGTGACAGCGTTTTTTGGCCCTCGATGCGTGACTGTCGCGCACAATGCGTGACACTTGGTAGCTCAGGATTGACCCCCTTGGCTCCCCTCCCAGTACACTACCATGACTACTAAGCAGTAGCATTAGTTGTCGGCTCCTCTCTAAAGAGAGGAGCCGATATACCCAAATAAGAGGCTAACGAACGAACTTCCAGGGACTACTCCAGAGCAATCTTGTACTTTTTTAGTAGTAATGCCTTGTAAGTAATATGGCTTATACTCGGCCCTTATCTCACTAAAAACAAAATAGATTGTCCTCCTCACAGTTAACACTTGTACTCTTTTGAGATAGACTGAAAATTACAAGTGTGTTCTACTGTTCTTCTACTTCCTGATCTATATGCATATGTGAAACCAAGCTTTGATGTTGTAAAGTCATCAATATCAGTTTGGGTCAGGCATTCAGCAACGAACTAGTAGTAGAACTTAGAAGGCTAGAGCTGAATATGATTGGCATAACCATTATAAGAATTTAATTGATTTCATGATTGATGTCACAATTTATTAAATTTGAAAGAAATTTGAAAAGAAAAATCATACTTTCGGTCACTTTTTAGAATGTGGCCTCATATTCATAAAAGTAACTGTACTGAGCCTGGTTGTTAACTATGTACTTTATAGCCATGTAAGTAGTTAACAACTAGCTTCTAAAGGTTTTTATGAGCATGGACCCTGATGTTTTCCTTTCTGTTTTGGTTTCAGTCTCCAGTTTTCGATGGGAAGATACCAAATTGGTTCCATTACCACTGTTTCTTCAAGAAGAACAAACCTGAGTCTCAAGCAGATATAGGTAGCTGAGTATATCACTGATTGTCTTTAAAGTTTTGTTGCTTCATTAATCATTATCAAGCATTTTAATACACCATTGAAATGAAGATTATGTATGTGAGATAATATTTGTAAGGTATATGTTTTATAGGTGCCACAGTGTGATTTCAGGATTGGTTTGAGACTTGATCTTAATTTCTCAATTCTGACTTCTGAGATCACTGGTAGAGCTGCTGAATGTCTGGTTTTGATAGATCTGACACTGTCTGCAGGGCTGTCAACTTTGAGGAACTACTTGGAGGAAGATCTTTTTTCTTTAGGGGTGATAGTGAGCACTAAATAAAATCATTTTTTAATACTCAACAACCACCCCCCCCCCCCCCCCCCCCGAGCAAACAAAAATTCGCTAAACACCCCCCTCAAGTGAAACAAATTTCCACCGCCCATTAAGTAATTTTTTTGTACTCAGCACCCCCCTCCCCCTTGAGCTATTTTTTTTTTACTTGACACCACCCCCCCCCCCCCCCCCTAATACGATACACTGGTTGGTCATAATTAACCGCTATCGAACAAACCACAATGGAAGTAAATGCGCTCGATTTTAGCCGTGGAGTGAGACTCCCTCTTAATGCAGGCAGGTAGACAGCCCTGCTGTCTGAACTAGGCCTCTACATCTAGCTCACTTGAAGATAAAAGAAAGACCACTATTGATACTTCAGCATACCACACTCAAACAACAGTGCAAGAAAGCACAAAAGCTTGAATATTCATATAATGAGTGAATACTTGTCAATGGATATCTTTAACCTTGATGAGGTAATCCCTGAAGCAGCTTTTCCAAGTTTCATTGAGATGGGATGTGGTGTAACAGCAGGTGATGTTGTAGACAATAACAGAAATGTGTAAAATGTAACATACATGTATCTAATAATAATAATATTAATAATAGTGGGTTCTTGTATAGCGCTCATGTCTGTCATACATGACACTCCTGGCACTCCCGATTATTACCCTGGCTTTAGCACGGCTGCCATACGTCGCTCTAGCATTTCAAGGAATAAATTCCTGCCGGGTACCCATTTACACCACCTGGGTAGAGTGTGGCAAATGTAGATCAATGTCTTGCCAAAGAACATTAGTGCGGCGGCGGGACTCAAACCGCGGACCTTGTGATCGACAGTCCGGTGAGGGGACACTCTTCCTCATCCAGTTCTATTTCACACATTTCTAATGCTGGGATCGAGTTGAAATTGTACTATTGTACTATATAATGGATTGATGGTGCAAACTGCACTGATAAATTGTCCTGCATTATCACTTGTAATGGCTCAAGATGAAAACTGCATTTTGTACTGTAAAGTTGTAAAGTATTCCAAATTTCCTACTTGCAGGGGGCTTTCCAAGTTTGAGATGGGATGATCAACAAAGGATCAAGGAAACACTGTCTGGAAAAGAAACTGGAGGAGCACTCAAGAGTGCAGATCCTGATGCAGAAGTTGACACTATAACAACATTGGCTCAGTTTATTGTGGGCTATGCCAGTTCTGGTCGGGCTCAGTGTCACGGTTCAGGTTGTTCTGAAAAGATTGCTATGGTAAGCTCCTCAGACTGGAGTTGGAATAAAGAAGGGTTTTTGTACATAAAAGTTTTTTCTTCTAAATAGGTCATCTAAAAGTAACACTTGGTAAAGCTTCAGATGTGCCATTGGAAATCATGCAAATTGAAAAGAAAGTAGCAAAATAACCAAGAAACAGATTTCTTAATGATGCTCACTGTAAAGTGATCATTAATAGTTAACAATTTGTGACACTTCCTGAAACAGGAAATTCATCATGACACGTGCTTAGAGTCAGAATAGTATGAGCTCTTTGTAAAAGTATTTACACTCACGACTTTTTTCCCTTCTGGCTCTTGCTTCTTGAAGACTTGAAAGCGAAGTAAGGAATTTACTCATTTTGGCATTGAAATTTGGTATTGTTATTTGTGTTGTGAGTTTCTTTGACTACTGTTTCTCTTGCTCAGCAAGCTTGAGATCATTAAATATTATTAAATTCAATCATATTTTAAATTAAATATTTTCAAATCCTCAATCTTTGAATTACATGAAAATTTACTAATTTTATTAAAAGAATTTTTTGAGGATGAAAAATTGAATTTTCAGTGATAGAGTGGAACCTCCTTATGACAAACTCCTTGAAACCATAGTTGTTATATAACTTTGAATTCTATTGTATCAATGCTTAAACCAATAGAAGATGAAGAACTTGGACTTCTAATATTACCATGTTGCAATGAGAATGTGATTTAGCAATGTTCCTTGTAATGAGGCTCTATTGTGATAGAATATTTTGTTATAATAGGCTATAAAGTTTCATCCTTGTACCTGTTTAATAAAGAAAACAGTTCGGATTGCCCTCTTGAAACCAATGGAAGAACACCTAGACTATGGACCTACACCTTGCTGGTATCATGTGGATTGCTTTGTTAATGCAAAGCACAAGGAGAATGATTACACTGAATGGCCTGCTAATGGGAAAGCCAGTATGCTCACAGACTTTAACCTTCTCAAGGATACAGATAAGAAGATGCTGGAAGAGAAATTCAAGTAAGTATATCAATTACCAATTACATTATGTTGAAGGAGTGAGTTTGCATGAAACATTGTACTGTAGAAAGTAAAATAATAATAATAATAATCTTTTTAAAGTCCACTCCAAATTTTATTATACAATACATATGGTAGATCAGTATCCTAAACTTAAAAGAAAAGCAATTTCCCCAATTATTATTTATAGCTTGATGATTTTATGAAATATGTTGACTGAAACATTGCTTTTTGCTTCTTTTCTTAACGCACGGCCCAGAGTGCAATAGCGGTGAATGCAGTACGCGCGAGGTTTCTTTAGATTGGTGCCGTTCTGTGCAACGAGCCGCTTGCGGCGAGTTGACAGTGAGCACCATCTGAAGAAACCGAGCGTACACTGCATTTACGTTTTGCACAACAGGGTCAAGTGCGTTATTTGTTTTATAAAATAGCGACACAAATGCAAAACAAACAAAAGTTTAGATCTGAAGCATTAAGTTAGAGTCTACAAGAGTTATATCTAGAGTTATGTTGGTTCTAGACTAAGACTAGAGTAAGACCTTGCAAGCTTACCAAAAAGTTCACGGGATTCATTGCCTTGAGTAAAAATAAAATCCATAGGGGGTCTAGAGACGAGTCAGACAGCTGAAATTCCTGGCTTCATTATAAAATCCCAAAGTCAAAACAGGCCTATATCCAAGGCAAAATAAAGTAAAATAAAAATTTGCTTTCTAATAATACCCTGGCCCGCTCTATATAGCTAAGCTACGCGTACGCGCGCTGCGCTGGGATGGATCATGGAGCGTACAATACTTACCTACGTTTACAATTAAAATGCACTCATATTACAATGCACTCAGAAAAGGGGCGTACTATACGTACGCGTGCGTGCTGGATATCCATGGTAACGTGTAATATAACCTTTTTTGCGCTTTCTTCTGCAAAATCGTGCTTGCATCAAAAATTTGTACATGTCATGTGACGCGTATTGACCAATCACGATGCTTACAATACTAGAGCCATTTTATAATAAATAATTCTTCACACAGGAAAGCAATGCCAAAGACTAAAGGACAAGGCAAAGGCAAAACAGATCCTCCTCCAGCAAAGAAGGCTGCTCCAAAAATCAGCAAACTAGATCGAGATCTCAAGGTAAAAATGCTCCCCTATAAATTAATTGATTGAGAATGAATAGATTTTCATATTTTCATACAAGACAGGTATATTTTGAGGCAAACACAGGCTATTACATGGAACTAAGTATCCCTGAAGCTTTTAGATGGAGTATTGAGCATTCGTTTTGATATATCCAAGGCTATCGCGAGGCCTGGGAGGTTTTCACAAACTTGTCATCAGTGACAAATAAAAGTTTTTCTGATTGGTTAACAGCAGATTTGTCACTGGTTTTTGTCATTTGTCTTTGAAAAAAGGCTTTGTGAAACTGGTCCCTGGTAATGGAACTGCATCATGATAGAAACTGGCTAACATTCGTATGGCACATTTCAAGAGGATGATTTGGTGTAATGAAACTGAAAAGGCCTCATCAATATTGATCATGTACTATTGTTGCAACGATTCTTTTACCTATTTTTGTTAGTAGTCATACCAAAGTTTGGAATGTTTTTTCAGTCGCATCCTTTAGCTGGTCAGATGTTTTCGATGATAAGACAATTGAATAAGGCATTAGTTTGAATGCCACATTATTTTACACACAGTATGTAATTCCTTGCAATTCTTCAGATATTTTAGAATATCTTACAAATGTTTATTTCCATTGTATCTTCAAGTAAGGATGTAATCTAAATCAAGCAGCTTATTTGCATTATTTGTCATGATACTTTTACATCTCTCTTTCTCTATTCTTGATATGAATTTGAATGATCAGACCCAGAATGATCAGTTATGGGCAATCCGTGACCAGCTTTACCGATGGGTAAAGAACAATGGACTGAAGGACATACTGGAAGCTAATGATCAACTAGTTCCTCCAGGAGAGAGTAGGGTAAGAAAGAATGGATTTAAAGTTCCGTGCTCATTAAGAATTATTATGTAAGAATTAATATGAGAGAGAAAGTAGGGTAAAAACATGCATGTATTGATTACTTGCACAGATTCCTGTTAGAAGCAATGTAGTCAATGACTCTAGAATAATGAAGAGGTTTCCATATTTCACAGTCTTACTAGATAAGTTTTTTCATAAGGTTATGTTTGTGATCATCCTCATCTATGAATATATTTTAGGAGCTCAGCTTTGCTCCTTGTATCAGCTACTACTTTGAACACTTCTCAAAACAATGAGGACAGCAAAAATATATTTTAGCAGATTCAATACTTTTGAAATGCTTAAGGCAAGATTGTACTGCTAGAGCTAGATTAATCCTTATTATCCTATCCTTCAGCTTCTAGACAGTGTGGCTGATGGCATGATGTTTGGTGCCCTTGAGAAATGTCCAGAATGCGAGAATGGCCAGCTAGTTGTGAGTTCATCAGGTCTGAGCTTTAAGTGTACAGGTAACCTGACATCCTGGACCAAGTGTCAGTACAGAAGCAAGGATGTTCCCAGGAGTAAGACATGGCACATTCCAGAATATCTTAAGGAAGATATTGATTACTTGTAAGTATGAAATCCTCATCCACACATTTATCAGGTCACTCCTTGACAGTTGAAATAGCCTGCTCCACGGAATTCCGGAAAAAGATATGGCCAAGCTGCAGAGAATCCAAAACTCTGCAGCACGTCTATTCTCTCTCACCAAAAAAAAATGACCATGTATTACACCAACCCTTAAACAATTGCATTGGCTCCCCATTAAATTTCGCATCCAGTTCAAAGTTCTTCTTTTAACTTTCAAGTCTATACATGGTCATGCCCCAAATTATCTTTCTGAAATGATTCAGTTATACACGCCCAATCGGCCCCTTCATTCTGCAAATTAAACTCTCTTGACCGTTAAAAAAACCCCAACACGTTCTTAAATTGTTACCTTGTTATCTTATGTTTGATAATTTCACTTTTGTTCTCTTGTCATTTTCTGTTTAGTTTTACTTGCATCAATATTGTAAAGCATTTAGATATAAATCTCTTATGAAAAGCGCTATATAAGTAGAAGTTATTATTATAGTTGAAAAGTAATATGTACTTATGATATAATGGATATGTCTGCATTGTCAACTATTGTTGGACAATCATTCTTTATTTGTCTGCATCAATGCAAGTGATATCGAATTAACTTCAAGTTCAAATGTTGATAACACTAACAAATCTTGGTTGTCTTATTAGTTCATTTTTAGTTTGTTGTGAATCCTTGCATATATTTTGGTACTAAACATGATTGATAACTTATTTTGATTATTTTTTTTAAATGTTAAAACAGGAAAAACTTCAAATTTGTGGCGTACAACAAGGGTAAGAGACTGTTTCCGGAGGAGGAGGAAGGGGCTTCTACATCAGCTGCAAGTCAAGATGGAGCTGGTGATGGCAAAAGGTTTGCTTATATTCCATTTACAATGTCACTTGTATCTTTTTAAGGCAACAACTAAGCAGCACATATCTTTTCTCATCTAAACCAAATACTAACTACCTTTGGATGGTTGTATGGACCTATGTGTCATTGGTCCTCTATGCACTTGTTGCCATATCCTGTTAGGGCAGTGATCGCTGAGGGCCAACATAATGTCTATAGTGTTTATTCACATATCTTGTATGTCCTATAAGTTGATGTCCAATTAGAGATAGGGTTTCTTTAAATCCAGTGGCTCTTGAGACTCTCATAGTGCACATTCAAAAATTCTGTTTTTAAATTTTTTAAATTTTTTTAATAGATATTTTTGAAGTATGATACTTAGCCTGATATCTGATACCCAGACTGAAAGATATTTGGTGTTTAGATAAAACTAGAATTATGAAACTTATTCTTCTACAGAAAGATAGTCAAGAAACCTGAAGATAAGGCCCTATACAACTGTACTATTGTACTTCATGGCAAATTGTCCAAGAGCAATAAACAACTGAAGACAACCATCCAGGATCTAGGAGGAGAGGTAGCTACTAAAATCACACCAGAAACAGCCTGTGTCATTAGCAATGAAGGTGTGTTTTCTCTTCTTTTTGTTGTCAATTTGAATTGCCATTCAATCCGGTAGAAGTAAGGAACTTGTTTTGTGAATGCAATCATGTGTACATAGCACTCCCTAGGGAGTGGAGATGGTGCACACATTGTGTATTCTGTCATGGGTGACCCATTATTTTCTTATTTGTTGTGGGCTTTATTTAGTGAAAAGATTATAATGTTAGGGCTAGAGTTACAATCAGGTTTTAGGTTAGATTCAGGGTTTGGGTTATGGTCAGGGATAGTGTGGGACCCGGGACCGGATACAGGGTTAATAGGAATTTGGTCACTGTTTGACATTGACCGCTGAGCAGTTATCCGTAGAGCACATGTCATGCAATCTGGATATCAATCCAAACATAGTTATTGAGAGTTTGAGGCCTTGAACTTTTAATGGCATGAAATTTAATGGTACTTTAATCAATATTACTGAAAATGACAATGTTACTGAACAAGGTGAAAGTATAAATAGTTTTGAATTGATGCTGTAAATTGGATATGTGCATGTTTAAATTCTTGTTTTTTATCAGTAGTTTCTTTCAGATGATCTTTAAAAAAACAATTTTGTTTGTATTGGTAGAAGTGTGAAGTACCAGTTTGAAAGAATGCAGTCTATCAGACTTCTTTTTTAGTTGAAATTGTTCTCCATTTTGATGGGATTGGGATGAGAGGATGGAGAAACAAATTTCCCTATCATAAGTAAACTAATTTTGTTTGTTTGCTATAATTTCAGCTGAGGTCAAGAAGATGAACAAGAAGATGAAAGAAGCTGAGAGCAATGATGTCCATGTTGTTTCAGAGGATTTCTTGGATGCTGTTAAGAATGGAGGTGCAGCTCTGATGATCACTCAACACAGCATCTCTACTTGGGGATCAGATGTAAGATGGTGCTATTACTATTCATTCTCCATGCATACCTGCCATTGTCTTTCTTGTATAGCAATGTGTTTTCATTGTAGATAAGATTAAATCACCTGCCGACAAACATTTACAGTTAAAATGAGCATAGCTCATCTTAGAAGCTTGCAACTTGTTGGCTGTCAGAATAGTATGGGAGTTTTAGAACTAGAATTCTAGTGCTTATCCAAATGGGATGAAAAAATAGAGAGAAAAATATCCAACATTGCCACTTTTCTATAAGTGGATAAGGAAGAACTAACCTGAAGGGATGTTAATCCATGTATGATGTATGCTGAAGGGAAATTCATTAGAAATCAAATATACAAAAAGATGCAACATTCTGTAAAGAATATTCAATATATTCAATATGAGTGACAATATTTTCTGTCCTCATTTAATGCTTTTGTTGTTGTTGTTGTTGAGATTTTGCATAGATTTTAATTTCTTAGTCATTATTTCTTAGTCTATATTTCAAACCTGTTATTTTTTCCAGCCTACTACTAGAATTGCTGATACAGTTGCTGGTCAACTACCAACTAAAAGTATTGGTCAACTTCAGAGAGAGAAAGATGGTAAGAAATTGTTTTCATTCTATGAATGTTTCTCCTTTCTGTGCAGCTAATCTTATGACAACTGTATGTTTATTTTGCGTCTCTTAAAAACATCTCATCATTATTTAACCTTTTGGGGAGCTTTTCTCTCTGTATGTTCCTTTTATTACTAGGAAGAAATGAATATGGGGAAACATCAATGAAATGATTAGGTAGAAATCAAATATAAACTTTGAAATGAGACGATCCATATTTAGAGAATGACAAATAGTAATTTAGGCTGGGGAATCTATAGGATATGCTGATTTTAAAAATATATGTAAGTAAGGGCATTGTAGGACAGTCTGTTTGGGTGGATACTTGAACTCTTAATCCTATTTTGCCAATTACTATGCAGTTTAAAATGCCAATGTGAATTTTTATGCCTCCGCCACCGAAGGTGGTGCCGGAGGCATCATGTTTTCGGGTTGTCCGTCCGTACGTCCGTACGTCCGTCCCGTTTGACCGTTATCACAATATCTCAAGAACCATTTAAGATTTAAAGTTAAGACTCGGGAATAGTATTTATCACCATAGGAAGACGATCTGATTAGATTTTGGAGTACAAAGGTCACAGGTCACAGAGGTCAACTTATGAAATTCCTTGTATTGAGTTTGTTAGCGCGATATCTCAAGAACCATTTGAGATTTAAACTTCAAACTTAAGGATAGTATGTATCACCATAGGAAGACGATCTGATTAGATTTTGGAGCAGGTATGTCAAAGGTCAAGGGTCACAGAGGTCAACTTATGAAATTCCATACATTGAGATTGTTATCATGATATCTCAAGAACCACTGGAGATTTAAACTTCAAACTTAGTGATAGTGTGTATCACTATAGGAAAAAAATCTGATAACATTTTGGAGCATGTAGGTCAAAGGTCAAGGGTCATAGAGGTCAACTTATGAAATTCCATACATTGAGATTGTTATCATGATATCTCAAGAACCACTGGAGATGTAAAAACTTCAAACTTAAGGATAGTATGTATCACCATAGGAAGACAATCTGAATAGATTTTGGAGCACGTAGGTCAAAGGTCAAGGGTCACAGAGGTCAACTTATGAAATTCCATACATTGAGATTGTTATCATAATATCTCAAGAACCACTGGAGATTTAAACTTCAAACTTAATGATAGTGTGTATCACCATAGGAAGACAATCTGATTAGATTTTGGAGCACGTAGGTCAAAGGTCAAGGGTCACAGAGGTCAACTTATGAAATTCCATACATTGAGATCGTTATCGCGATATCTCAAGAACCACTGGAGAATTTTCACTTCAAACTTAATGATAGTATGTATCACCATATCATAATATCTCAAGAACCACTGGAGATTTAAACTTCAAACTTAAGGATAGTGTGTATCACCATAGGAAGACAATCTGATTAGATTTTGGAGCACGTAGGTCAAAGGTCAAGGGTCACAGAGGTCAACTTATGAAATTCCATACATTGAGATTGTTATCATGATATCTCAAGAACCACTGGAGATTTAAACTCCAAACTTGTTTAAATTGCTCTATGGCGGAGGCATCATTTTCGACTGCGCGCAGTCAAAATTCCATCTAGTTTCCAATACTTCTACCTTGAACCATAAGGTCAATTGACTTAAAAAAACTAAAAAGAATGGCTATGTGAATGCTAGAATATAATTTAAAATATCTATAATCTAAAAACATTTTAAACACCATCTGAAATACATTATGTTGTCTTAATCTCAGTTCAGTTTACTATATGAATTATCTCTTGAATTTATTATTTATATATTATTGTGCCTTGCCTGAAGGTTTTCATATTTGTGCATTCTAGATTCACATTTTTTTCTAATACAAATGCATCTGTGACCTTTGACCTTGCAGAGTCCAAGTTCACCTCTGTCATGCCGAAGACCTCCAAGATGCAGCTCAAAGGAGGAGCTGTGGTAGAGGATCAAAATCTAGGTAAGCAAAAGCTCTCTATTCAAATTTCAATGTTGATTTTTGTGAAGAATTTATTGTGACATTGATGGCTGCTGTGCAAAGATAGGTGTTTAAAAAAAAAATCAGATGCTGAGGGGGCCTATTGACCTTGAGGTACTGTGGTACTTATGGAGATACCTCTAGGAAAATCTGAGGAAGACTGTAATGTGTAGTGGCAAATTATCGATCTTTTCTCTTTTCATAAGAGTATATTATCAACCTTACTATGTTTATAACCACATCAAATTGTTAAATAGTACCTTTGGAAATGGAAATGTGTTACAAGCGAAATTTGCAAACTAGTTTTCCTATTGACTTGATGTCAAATAGAATGCCTTTTGGGAGCAAAATATGTGATAGGGACAAGATCAGAAAGTATGTAGAATAGAGAGAAATAGAGGAGAGAAGAAAATGTGTGAGGGAGAATCATAGAAAAAGAGACAAAGGTAGGATGAGAATATAAGGGGGGGGGGGGGTAAGGAGGGCATTCTAGAATTATGGATGAGGATAGATCAAAGATTAACCAGCGAGGAGATAAGAGTTAGTAAGCTAAAGGTGCAAGTCCGATAGGAGAGGGGAGAGAGAGAGATACAGTAAGGAAAGGACAGAGAAAGAATAGGAAAAGAATAGAGAGAGAGAGAGAGATAAATAGGGAAGGAAGTAATTAGAAGGAAGAGTGTTTAGAGTTGACCAACACTGATGGAAAATGTCAGTGATACAGTGTCTTGTACCGTGAATTGAACTTTAATGCATCCAGTAAATCAGCTGTCTCTCCTGACCTTAGGAAATAAGATGTTTTATGAACCATGACTAAACGGCTCCCAAACTGATTTATTATAAACCTTCAGCCACAGTTGCTGATATTTTACAGGAGGGGGGGGGGGGGGGGGGGGACTCTCGCCTTCCTTGGGACATGTTTTATTCAGATGAGATGAAGAAAGATGGAGATTATGCCAAATGTATGTGATCAGCCCAGATTATTCAAGAATTGATGAATTGAATAGACCTATAGCTGCTTCTGTGAAAGTAATGTATGTACTTAGTACTACATGTACTTCATGAAAGGCTGAAAGCATAAGTCAGGGTATCTTTCACAAAAAAATGTAAGCATGAAATCAGAAAGATATATACTGTTTCCCTATGTCTGTAATATGGTATTACAATTTTGACAACTGAGAAGGCCAATCCTCTTGTGTTTAGATGTGGAATTTGTGAATACATGCAAATATATTTAATACGCCAAAATGGTGGATATTTCTTGCGTTCTCATGTTGATCGTTACTTTCAAACTCACGATCTGCTTGCAATAGTATGATATTATTATTCATATTTTGTTTAATTATCTACTTTCTACGTGCACAGTCAAATTGATAAATAAATGATCCTTTTATTATATTGAACAAATTAACATCAAATTTACAGTAAAATAATTCTGTTGATATGTATAGTTAAGACTATCTAAACTACTGTACCTTGCATGTATTTCATGAAATAAAAGTGTTGCTGATGTTCAATTGATAGACATGTACAAGAGAAGCAGACTTGTCAGAGCTGTAAGATGTCAAATTGCTGCCGTTAATGTGTAGAGAAGTGCCATAATGCTTCAGATTGTGTGTTTTAGAACCTCCCTCTCTTATTAAAGAGTTTGCTAGTTTGAGTGCTTTTACTACACAATCTAGGAAGTCAGCGATTGGTGGAGCTGAGAGGTGTGTAAATCTGAACTGTGATGACAAGTGCCACTGATGGTTATTGATTTCTCAGTCTGACATTTAAAACTGTTACATCCTCTATATCGATGTTAGGTGTTTGCTCTGTCCCATTTTGCTTTTGTGTAGGAAGAATGTCATTTGTATTTCATCGCTGCCCAGTTTGATATGTTGCAACTGCTTAAAAAAGTCTCTAGTGTTGCATCTAGAAGATTTTCCTAGCTTTTAATAAACTGTATGCCTCTTCTCTTTCATATTTTTACAATGAAAGTGTCTTTTTCAAGTTTCGAAGCTTTTGTTTTGTTTTGTATTAAATCAAGGAATAATTTAATACTCACATTTGTTACATACATGTACATGCATTATGTACCTGCACTTAACAGTATGGATATGCTCAGAGCCTCGTCATACATTGAGTTGATCTGTATTTTTAAACTTATTTAATTTAAAAAAAAAATATATAAATGTGGCATTATTTTATATTCCTTCTCATTTAGTCAATTCATTTAGTCTGTTGTGAAGCAATAGTATAACCCGCATAGCAGCAGTTGTAACTTGTAACAAGTAACACATGTTATTTTTTTTTTTAAAGAAGCAAATATATGTAAGGTATTTGACACAGATCATTTTACTGGCCTGTTTGTGTATTTATGGTCATGGCAAATTTATAGGTGTCTTCCGATGTGTACGACAGTATAAACATTGCCTTGGTGTGATGAGTTTGTTAAATGGCAGTGAAAATTGACACACATTGAGATAAGAAATTTACTGTGAATGGCTGCCAGAGGCTCTGTAAGGTAAATAACGGAAATGCTTATGTTTGTATGGATTGTCTTCATTAGTATCTTCTGTTCTTCATTGTAAGAGGGAGATGTTTTGGCTTAATTGGCTATTACAAGGCCTTCAGATTATTAATGAAAAGTTGTATTTCTCTCTCTTGTTCTTGGCCATCTTACTTATCTTTTTGCCACACACAATCTTTCTCTCTTTCTCTCTCTCTCTCCCACACTCTCTGTGATACAAACTCACATCGCCCCTCCCCCCCCCCCCCCCCCCCTCTTTCTCCCAAGTGCCTTCTTATCTTATGCACCTCTTCATTGGTTTAATATTATTCTATATTTTTTACATTTTTCTCTTATCCTTTCTCCCTCTCACCCTCCCCCTCTCTCTCTCTCTCTCTCTCTCTCTCCCTCCCCCCCTCTCTCTCTCTCTCTCTCTCCCTCCCCCCTCTCTCTCTCTCTCTAACTCCTTTTGTTTCTCTCCGACCATACCTTGCACACATAATTTTATGAATGAATAACCAGAGTTAGAGTATTGTTTACAAGTGGCCACTGTTGCTCATACACCTTTGATTAAAATACACATAATACTTGTCTGCTAATGACTCTCTTACTCTACAATGGGGTCTATGCACACATCTTCACACATCCAATTAACTTTCATTCCCTGCTTGTTTAGCTGTAATGATTGATTAAGACTTAAGAGAGAAACAATTTCTTCTCAGGAGCCTTCCAAATTGCTACCCTTTAAAGTATTGAAACAGTGTATTGTTTCTTCTCACATAGAGCTCGATTTGCGTCACAAATTTTCTCTCTGACGTAAATGGATCCATGTGTTGCATATCAAAGGGAAGCTTAGAAGCCAATTAAGGAAGACAAAAATGTTTGAACGTTTGAAGAAAAAAAAAGGAATATGTTTACAAGTAATGTGTATTATTATTTTATATATTTTTGTTTAATTATTGATTATTAACCAATCAAGTGTAATTTCAAAGAGATACCAGCTATCCTCCTTGGTAATTTGTACAATGCTTTTTGGTTTGTAGTCTATTTCCCTTATTTTCTGTGAAGGCCAAGCTATTTCTCCTTGCTTTACAGATTACACCCAGTGACCCTTCTGATTATCAGCTACTAAGTTACCCTCCCCACTTCCAAAAGTAAACAATACAATAATTACAAGAATAATCAAAAATACAAATTGCCCTTAGTTTATGTTATGCAGTATGTGCATTTCTTTTTTAATTACATCTTCATTACTAATAATAAGTCATATAGTCATGAAAAGAATTTTGTAATATTATATGTTCAGTTGGATAATATACTGAGGTTTAATACTAGAAGGGCAACACATATTCAAGACCAGAAAGAATAGTACACTTGAGCATTTATTATAAATGTTATGGGTCTGGATAAAACAGAATTGAATATAAATCCTGTAATACTGATAATTTCAAGTCATTTACATTCTAAAATTATTTTTTCACTTGTACAGAAGTATCCCACACTGTAATTAGTTGATAATAGCCTGCTTATGCAGGATTTCATCAAATGTTTGTAAGTCACATCTTTGTTGCTAGGGCTATAACCACACATCATTAAAACTTGATTGTCTGTTACATGTTCTCCTTGAAGCACTCCCATTCTTTATGCTGTTTGCTCTCAGCAGTCTTCTCCTGTTATACCGACAGCAGAGAATATCCCAACATTCATGACGAAATGTAGGATTTATCATGGAGTAAAGAAGTGGATTTAGAACAGAGTTGAGATATGGTAGAATATTTCTACATATATACACTATTAGCATCTTCATGACTTGTGGGTCCTCGGGCACAAAACTGTGATAGATTTCAAGGATGGTCCTGGGCAGCCAACATATAATAAAAACAGCAATAACTAGAAGGAGTCGCTTAGCAACGATGTAGCGCGTCTGGTTCATGACCCTACCCCGTCCTAGTTGGTGCTGTGCATGGCGATTTCGTTTTGATAGGACAGAGAAGATACGGAGGTAATTCATTCCTATGACAGTCAAAGGAAGGATGAGGGTGATGGAGGCTTGTCCTAGAGCAAGGAAGATTCTCCACACAGAACCAACAGGCACGGTTAACCGACAACCAGGTATGCCGTAATAGAATACCGATGGAAACGCAACCAGGACTGACATGACCCAGATACAGATGATGATCTTACGCACCATCCGAGAGTGCATACGCATATCAAAGGGTCGGCAGAGGGAGTAGAACCGGTCGATAGAGATTCCAACAAGTATCCATGAGGAACAGATGAGAGTCTGGTGCCAGATGACCATGATGGCCTTGCACTCAGAGGCAGTGATTCTACGATACATAGCCATGATCTCAAAGTAAATATGCATTGGTACAACGATGATGCATACAGTAAAGTCAGTGACTGCCAGGCTACAAAGAAAGTGATTAGCTGTTGATTGCTTCCTCTTAGAGTTCCTCAGATACACTAGAATAACCAGCATGTTTCCCACTGTTCCAAATACAAGGAAGAGCGACATGAGGACAAGGTCTACTACTGAATGTATTGCACTTGGTTGAGGGAAGCTATATGGTGGGTCTTCTGATGCAATCAATATACTGTTGTTCTGAGTCCAGCTAATATCAGATGATATAGATTCATAATACCAATCGTCTGTAGATGCCATTCTAGCTGTTCTCTTGTTTATTGGTGTGCTATTAAAGAGCATACATTAATGTGGGAAGACATCATTTGTAAGTCCACTCCTCACCACAAATCCACTTCTCTCATGTTATTGTTGTTATTCCTCAAACTCTTTCCTTTCCTTTCCTACTGCATTGCTTGTAAATGATAGTGCATGTATCCAGATCACACTGATTGATGCCTTGCAATGTCTTCTCGATCTATGCTGTTATATTTCCATTTAAGTAATTGTTCCTTAGAAACAGGCGTGTCTTCTTATCACTTTGTCCTGTAGAACCTCACTGATGACATTTGGTTGGTCCAGATTTCTGTAAAAAGAAAAGATGGTAATACAATAAATTAATTCACCATATAGATTTTTTATAGCGTCTTATGCATTTGAGCATTCTCTCTATAATTACAACATCAAAAACAAGCTTCCTTGAGACATTTCTTAGCTGAATTTTAAAAATCCATCATTACTTCATTACTATTTGCTTTAAAAAAAGAAATATATTTGATCAGGGCTCATGAATTTACGCTATACATCTCTGAAGATTGTACAACAAAAGAATTGCACAGAAATATGAGACGCGAAAAAGATGAATGTATTTTTGCCAGGTGAGGAGTCGTTAAAATTTACTCTGCTGAAAATAAAGTGGCATGCAATTTATAGCATTAGTTTGATGGCTTACAGAATCTGAGTTATGCTTACTTTACCATACACTTAATGACTCAAACTCGCATGGGATGAGAGGCATTCTGTTTACACTCTCTACCTCGTTAGTAAGCACCTCTATGCATTTAATGGGGTGCCTCTACGTGCCATGTTTGTTATGACATGGCATGGCTATTTGTGTCACATGGGAGTGGGAGGGTCTTTTTAAAGGCAGCTTTTATGCAAAAGGATGAAATGTCAAGAATTTGTTTTCAAGAAGCAATTTTGTATCTTATTTTTACACTGTGCAGAAAGGCTATCCTTTGACACCCAAGTTGAAGACTAAGTAGGTTCTAGCAACAATCGCTGGTATATCAAGGATTGTACAGCTTGATGAAAGGAATTCTATTATTTGGACTAGCTGAATTAAATCACTTACATATAAATCAAGAAAAACAGAGAAAACTGATAGAATAACAAATAGAATTTGATTTCCATTGCAAACTTGGTGTTTTTGATACTGGTAGTACAAACAAATCGTAGGCATTACTTTGATTGCTCATTTTAGCAAAGTATAAGTTGCCCTCTGTTTGGAAATGTGGCTGTGGAGAGACAGGGTCACCAATGAAGAAGTGCTGGATAAAGGTGGAGGGGGGGGGGGGAGGTAGCATGCTCAGGGACACCTTGGAAGGGAAGGTAGATGGAATTAACAGGGAAGAGGATGACTAAGAATTAGGATGGTGTCAGACTTGGTATAGGTGACAGATCATATGATGCATTGAATAAGAAGGCTAAAGAGAGAGGAATGAAGAAGGAACTAAAGAAGTCTCTGATGTGTGGACCTGCCTTGGCAGAAGATTTGCTTAAAACAATGACATAATAATCCGACTTCATGAATCCTGGGGTGTAGTATTGCTGAATATAGTTTTGAAACTGTAATAATTTTTCTTATGCCCATAGCTTCTTTTACCCCCTACTAAAACACAAACAGATTTGATAATCTGCCCCCTCTGACTTGTATTCAAATCCTAAAAGTACCTGCTTATCTTCCTCCACTAGATCCAAACAGGTATGATGCCCTAACAGACAATTCACTAGTTGTTGGCTGTTTCTTTGATTTGGCAGTAGTGTGTTATTCTTCCTGTTTCAAGGTGGCCATAGGCAAAATATCCAATTTATTTTTTGTAATCAATGCCACTCCTCAACTGATATTATTCAAGTTAAAATAAAGTGAAGAGAAGGTGTGCAGGGGTCATCTCAGGATGTTTCTTTTGAATGTTAATCACAGAATTAATAATTAACAAAGATAGAGTAATTAGGGACTGCTTGATTGCTACCTAGATACAGATGAGTCTCTTAAGTGTAGTCCCATCAGTAATTAGGCATGTTGATAGTAAATTTACTTGGAAGATCAACAAATTCTTGTCTTTGAGCAGGGTACACGTTATCACTCTGTTTAATCTTAGTATAGTGTTCATGTCTTATGTATATTTGATGGTTTTTATTACGGGAAGAATGTAAATCCACTTTTGATGGTCTCATGGGCTGTCAGTCTCACTCATCACATATCTGTTCAGAAGGCCTTTAAGACTAACATTATCAGCCTTCTGCACCTGTCAGGCTCATGGGCTCTCGGTCTTGTGGGGCAAGAGTCTTTCAGGCTGTCTATCTTTCATCTTTTAACATTTAGCCATTGGATCAAATTCTCAATGAACCAGTGTATTTGCCTATTCCTAGATACATGTAACCTTATTGATTATCAGCTAGTTACAGTATTTATACACCTCGCATTAGGATGTTTGAAAGCCTTGTAGTGTATTTACATAAAATATTAGTAGATGAAAAAGAGTGCTACTTGCTTTTCACAACTGTGCAAACATACATTATAACATAATGTTGGTAGTTTGGGAGGGGGGGGGGGGGGATGAGTGTTCATTTGTAGTTCCTTGTATGTTTGCCTTGAGTGGCAGTTCAAGAAGAAAACAATAGGCTCTTAAGGTTTTTTATTTTTAGATGCCAAGTATTCTTATTTTCTTCTTCATATATGTAGTTTAGCATTGATATTGGTTAAGGTCATAAATTTGATTTTTTTTTTCCCCCTCTTTTATAAATTATCTTGGGCCATGATCTTAAACCCATTCTGAAGGGATACATTTTCATTTTTTTTTTCCTTAAAAAAGATACAGCTATATTTTACCAACAAATTAATAAATGAATAAAAACAAGAACAAGATTGAAAATAGATATTATTTTAGATACACAGACTCTTTTGCATGCGTGGGATCTGGGCTCAGTTTCGTAAAATCCCCATCAATAAAAAAAATTGTAATAATTTGAATAAACTAATGACATTTTGGCATGCAATTGGCTATGCGCAAATTTGAAACAGAATTGTGGCAAATGTGATTAATAACAAGTTTAGGAAACAGCTTGGATATAACCCAATCATTTGCAACCATTATCACAATTAATATCATATAACCTTTTTTTGCTTTGAACCAATTGTGGTAAATCAATAGTTTTATTCACACCTCCAAATAAAACTCACAATAAGATGTATTTTGACTAGACCGGATTGCAACCCTGTAAGCATATCAAATAGTCGGTGTTCTATGGAATACATCCAGGATTAAGAAGATAATGGAACCAAAATACCTTAATCACATTTGATATTTGATTATATTAGGGACTGGGGAGATATGAGTTTGGTTCTACTGACCTTCTAGCTGTTGTCAAGTCAAGTCAAACCAAATACTTCTTATCCTGAAAAGGACGAAGACTGACCAAAATATCAATGGGCCCTGTTCTCTTACAATAAAAAAAGAAACTTTGCAGATCTTTTAAAAAGTTACAAAATATCTTAGTTCTATTTTCTACTTCATCTTCATGTCTTCTCTTTACATCAGTTATTTTAAGAAGTGGTTCTGTCCCTGCAAAAAAATAATCTGAAGGCTTACCTCACATTCTAACCAATTTGACAATTTTTAGAAAAATGTCCTGTGTATTAAATATTCTTATCATGTTCAGATAAAAATTGAGACCTTTTTTTTTTCCTCCATGAAAGAATGCATGTTGAGCCTGATCCCTTAAAAGATGAAATGGTGATTAGATCTTCACATTTTGTCTCATCAAATCTTATTCATCATACCATGTTAAAAGATCTGGATAGAATAGTTAGGGTTTAGGCAAAATAACAAAGATGAAGTGTTTCTCATCCCCACCTGCCTCCTTTCTTGCTGACACCTCCTTTTTTTAAACTATTTACTATTCAGAAGGAAAAAAAAGCCACACAAAAAAGCCTGTGATATACATTTGGTTGAAATAGTTTTTAAAGTGATAACAATTATTTGTTTTGTCATACATTGTATCAGTATACTCACATAACACAATATCTGTGAATAAATAGGCTTGGCCAGCTATAATTAGCATGGCAGCCATTTTGGGGGAAAATTGCAATCAAATTGCAAAATAGTAATGCCCTGCCTCCTTTTTTGTTAAAAGTCCGGACGAGAAGCACGTTATTTTTGTTATTTGGCCATAGATGTTGAGCATAATTTATGTACCTCCATTGGTTTAGTGTATTGGCCTTTGTACACATTTGTACAAGATTAAAAAGAGACAGATGAAATGTCCCTCTGGTAAATAGATCCTGGTTTAATGCCCCCTTATGCTTCATAAATCATTCTGCTCTTTTGTCGTTGAAGCTACTAAACTATCACAATCTTTCATCACCTCTTTTTATTGATGCTCAAGCTGGAGATTGTTAACGCAACAATGAATGACATTTAGATGTTTATGAAGGATGGGATGAAAGAGATCTTAAAGCGCCTTTGAGTAGCAGTCCAAAATAACTTCACAAATCTTTTTTCTAAATAAACCATCTGTCATCAGAAGATGATCAGATTTACATTGAGTCAACGTATAGTATATTATTTTGTTAGGCAATTATTTGCAATGTTATTTGGAATTCTATTCCTAAAAGTTAAGACAGAATTGATTAATCAAGGGTTTGTAAAAGAAAATTTAAAAAAGTATGTCTGACCAGGGAGGTGTTTTAATTTTATTACAAGCCCTGGTCTGACTGAATTTACAAATCTTATGGAGTCTTTGCCATGTAAATATGTTTCATCAATAACTTGATAAATAGCTTTATCATAGAAAGCAGATGATTTTTTTTTTTTTTTTTAAATAGAACTTGTATTTATAATATGCAATATAAAAACAACATCCCCCCTCCCTCCTCCCCCCCCCCCCCCCCCCCCCCACAAAAAAAAATATCATCTGGTTCTGCTTCATATTGCTTTATTTTAAGTTCTAGCTGTGATCCATAAATGAAATACTTTGATTTCTGTCAGAAATAGAAGATATATGTTGAAAATCGGTAAAATCAGCCTGAAGCGATCATATAAAGTTACAGAGATGAGGATACCGTCGGATTTCCGATGTCAAATTTGTACTTGTCAGTCAGGAGTCAGGAAAATGAGAAGAAATTTCTGCATCAGTGTGATACTTGCCTATCTTGCATAAAGTCACTTAAATGGTCACCTTATTCGGTTACATGTTCAAAACCTTGTTGGTTGGACGAAAGCATATCCTGATACAGACACAGTTTTAATTACATTTTGACTCCATTTCTTCTTTCACAAGGGAATTTTTTTGGAGGTAGAATAG